CTCGCTGCCGACTCTGAGCTCACCTTGATGCTTTTAGGCGAGGTTATTTTGTCAGGTGCTTTCACTCTGTGTGGCCGCTACATTCAAAGATCTCAGCAGTCCTCAGTCAGACAGCTGGACCATCAGAAATGTGCTGCCCTCTGGTGGACAGAAGGATGTTCAAAAACTATAAAGATCAGAACTTTGCCCAAAAAAATATTATCAGTCCTTTTAAATACACACAAAATAACGGATCTAATAGAATTACCATTAGGTCTATGATTAACTAGTTACAGCAAAACAGAGACTGATGATCCTGTATGACGATAGAAACACAGTTAAAAACAAAAACTGCTGAAAACTGAGCAAAGAACTGGCAAACCCCGGGGTAAGGTCTGTAGAACTAGATTAAAAATGCACAATGTAGTAATACTTCTGTAATAATTTGTTTTATTCATCACAGTACTTGGAAAGAGGAAAATGTGCAAGCCATGCTGGCGCTATAGTCAAAGCCTCCGCTTCATTATTGAACCCTCATTAGGTAACTTTTCACATTTGCAGGGTTCTGATAAATCTGACTATCTGCTCAGGAAACAATGATCCAGTCACACAACCTGGGGTGTGTTCGCTGTCACTAAGCTGTGGGAATTTAGAGATACTGCTCTCACTAACAACTTATTATAAGCAGCTTTGTTCATTTACCAAATTAACTAATAATATTTAACAAGTTGCAGATCTAATAAATTATTGTTGCCAGAGGTGGAAAGAGTCCTAACATTTCCTACTTAAGTAGAAGTAACAATACTTTGATTATTTTTTACTAAAGTACAAGTAAAAGTATTTACCTGAAATTTTACTCAAGTAAAAGTAAAAAGTATCATAAATAAATTAAAGGTTACATTTTTGTCAGCGTAAGGATGGCGACATTTAAGTAGTGCGCGCGCACACACACACACACACACACACACACACACACACACACACACACACACACCAACTGAATTAGCTCCAGTATCAAGTGTTCATTTGCACAAACAAGATGTTTTGACTCACAGAGGCTGCAGGCTTCCTGTTTTATGAGCAGACCACGCTGGGAATCAGTTGGTAAGGAGTGTTTAAGGTTCTTTCGCTGCTGCTGTGTGGAGTAGTTGGAGAAACACCTTTCAAGGACAGAACTGAGTCAGGCTACTAGTGATGTGTCGATCGTGAACAAGCCGGCTCTAAGAGCCGGCTCTGTGAAGTGAACGACGGGAGCCGGATCGTCATGGGGAGCCATCACCCCCTCCCCTCTTGTTTTGGTGAAAGCCACAGGCGATTGGTCAACATGTGTAACTGCATGTCCAGACTGTCCACACACAGAGCAGTAGGGGCGGGGAAGAGGGAGGATCAGACTCAGACAGGCACCATCAGAGCACATGTGGGCGGAGGGAGACGAGAGGGAATGAGGAGGAGGAAAAGGCGAGTGAGAGAGAGGAGAGTGTGACAAAGACGGTGAGAAAATGAGCGACAGCAGTCGGAAAGTGAGATTTCTTAAAGTGTTCAGTTAATAAATCCATATAAATGACAAATATCTGATATATTGCTTTTTTTTTTACATTACTAAATCATTGTACGTATACTTTTGCATTATTTTTGGTGATAAAAATACTTTACGCAACAGAAAATCTGAGGAGCCACTTGGGAGCCGAAAGAGCCGGCTTTTTGGTGAGCTGAGCCAAAAGAACCGGCTCTCAAAGAAGAGCCGGAATTCCCATCACTACCGGCTACCGAACCGAGCAGAATACTGACGTAACACTGTTGTGCGAAAGTGCGGGTTTCAACCAACAGGAGAGGGAAGGAGAGAGGGGTTAACAATGAACAATGAAGGCATTGGTTGTCCCCTGCTGGTAGAAAACTAGGACTGCATACTTGATCTGTTTAAGCCAGAGTAGTGTACCAAATGGCCAAGTGTTTCGTCAAAATGAGCAGAAGTTAACTTTCAACTTGCAGACCAAACTTCTCCATACAGGTCAGTCTGAGACCGTGGTGCCGATGTGATGTCTGTGAACTTGAGCCAATATTTTAACTAAACCTGAGGTATGTCATGAGTCCTCAAGACTCAGGACTTCTTATATAGCCTCTTTGAATAAAGCTTGTCTTCCCTGGTTTATAAATCACTTGAATTTTTTTATAAGTGTTATATAATCATATTTAGTTGAATGAACAATATGTTTAAATCCAAACTGTTTTAATAATGTGTCCAATAGCGACATCCATCCATTCATGCTACATAAATGGCGAGCCAGCCAGGAGGACTCATGACGTGCGCAGGATAAGTTAAGAATATCGGCACCATGGTGTCAGATTGACCTACATGCAGAAGTTTGGCCTGCAAGTAAAAAGTTAACTTTGGGTCATTTTGACGAAGTCCTTGGCCATTTGGTATGCTACACCAGTTAGAGAATGATTTTGTATCATTTTCTCAAAGAGGCTGAGAGAAAAATGTGTTTAGTTTATGTCCTTTTAAGAACAATAATTATTATTTTGTCTTTGTGTGTCAAAATAACCTAATAAATAGACCACACATTAGTTTATATAAAATGAAACATATTTTCATCCTGTGGTTAATGACAAACTTATTTTAAGCTTTAATGCTTGTTTTTACAGCAGATGTTAACGCTGATGAGTGTAATAATATTCTCAAAATTTTTGCAAACAACTACAATACTGGTCAAAAGTTTTGGAACGCTCCAATTTTTCCAGTTTTTTATTGGAAATTATGCAGTTTAATGTCACACTGGACTATGAAATGAAACCATAGTACAACTAGGCAAGTAGAGTTAAAAAAATCATGGAATCATTTTATAGACCAAAATGTATTCTAAACTTTTGACTCATCAAAGTAGCCATCTCGGCAGATATAACAGCTGAACACTCTCGTGGCATTCTTTCTACAATAGAAATCAAATATTCTTCAGAAAGCTCTTCCCATATCTGTTGTAGAAGTTCCCAGAAATGTGTGGCACTTGAAGGTTGCTTTGCTTTCACTCTTCTGTCCATTTCATCCCAAACCAGCTCCATGGGGTTTAAGTCTGGAGACTGTGCTGGCCCCTTCATGTTCACAAGCTTACCATCTTGTTCTTTTTTCCTGAGGTAGTTCTGGCATAGCTTGGAATTATGTTTTGGGTCATTATCTTGCTGTTGGATGTACCCCTGACCAACTAGGTGCATACCAGAGGGTATGGAGAATGCTGTGGTGGTTCAGGGTACCTCTCACTCTGTACAAGTCACCAACCTTGGATCCAGCAAAACAGCCCCAGACCATCACACTTTCTCCTCTGTGTTTGACAGTTGAAGCCACACACTGTGGAACTATCCTTTCACCTACTCAACGGCATACAAAGATCCTGCGTGATGAACCGAAGATTTCAAATTTGGATTCATCAGTCCATAATACGTTCTTCCAGTCTTCAGTAGTCCAATGGTGGTGTTTCATGGCCCAGGCAAGCCTCTTTCTCTTATTCTGACATCTTAGCAGTGGCTTTCTTGCTGCAACTCGTCCAGTCAAACCTGCAGTTTGAAGTCTTCTCTTCACAACTGAAACTGAGACTTGCTCACTATGACCACTATTAAGCTGTGCTTGAAGCTGTTGTCCTGTGAGCCGCCTATCACAGCTGTTAACGCTCAGAAACTTGTCCTCTGATGCAGTTGTGGCTTTGGGTGTGCCACATCTCTTCTTGTTAGAGTTTGCCCCAGTTTCTGAGTGCCTTTTGATGGTGAAGGAAACCGTACTCACTGACACCTTGACTTTCTTTGCATTTTCTCTGTAGCAAAGACCTGCATTTTTAAGTGTTATGGTCTTCCTCTCTTCCATTGTTAATTGCCTTTTTCTCACCTTTTTGTAGCAGCACACTATTCTCTGCAGTACAATACTGTTCAACTGATGTTCACGAGGGAACAGTACCACAGTATGTTCCAACACCTGCTTTTATGCAGACAGAGGGAGTTGTAAGTAATCCAGAAAAGTTGGAACATCTGTGGGAAATAGTAGCATCAGTTTTCAAGGCTTAATCAACCTCCATTGATGCAGAACAGCTGTGTTCCCTCAAAAAGGCCTTTTTGTACAATTTAGAAATGTACATTATTTTTCAGTTTTCAGTAACCTTACCTTTTATTTAACCTCTAGCAGTCCACCACTTAACTTTGTACCATTTCAAGCTATTCATCGGACTTGAATGACTTAAACTGCAATAAACAACTGGAAAAATCGGGGCGTTCTAAAACATTTGACCGGTAGAGTAACTTTGGTAAAAACAAAAGGGAGTGACATTTAAAGTCTTGTTTTGATATAGTGTGATATTCTAATTGCCAGTTCTTTTGAGTTTGGGGGTTTTCTTATGCTGAGCAATAATCGACATAACAAATAAAGGCTGGAGTATCTGGCTTTGCATGGAACAAGTCTAGCTCATAAATTAGTTCCACCTTTTAAAATAATTTACTGAAATAAATGAACCTTTGACCATAATCAGATTGTTTTGAGTTTCACCTGCAGTTAAACAGGACAGGTAAATGTCCCTTCTTTTACCAGTCCTGTGAGCAACAGCTCCCTCTGCATGTCTGGAACCAATGTCTGGCCCATCTGCATCCCAATGATGGACAGGTGACTCATCCAGGGTTTAACATAACTCTTACCTTCCTGGCTTTGGTGACCCACCTGGACAACCGTCATGGTGGGACAGAGGACATCTTTCTTCAGCATTGATCTAAAGCAGGAGCTCCGCTCTAAGTTTATTTGTCCTTGAACACCAAACATTAGTCCAGTGCGACATGGGGACCATTTGCGGTACAATTTTAGGCCGCCACCAGCTGCATTTCTAGAATGAGGAATTTTGTCCCTGCAACAGGCAGCTGATGTAGACTGGTTCTTTCTAACATTTTCATATTCACATCTTTACATAAAATTCTTTTATGAATCTATTTTGAGGAGAAACAATAAATTTCTTTCATATCAGAAAGAAATCAGCTGCGAGCCCACACAGGAGTTTCCTTTTCAGCAAGTTTATTTCAGTATAAGTGGTCGTTTAAAACACCTCACATTGCTCCTCTGAACTTCTCCTTTTCTGGCAATCTCCAATAAAAGCAAGCAAACAAACAAACGTCAGCGGTTCCACCGTGACCAGATTCTGAGTCAGCATTAAGACGGGTGGCGAACAGTCACACAATACCGCTGCACATGTGTAAAACTAGACTAAAAACAGAGGATCCTGACAACAGCACAGAAAGGAGCAGTGATATGACTTCATGATTAAATGCCCTCACATTAAATGCTTTCTCAGCCTTTCGGGGCATTGTGTACCATTTCAGTGTGTGTGAGAGCAAATGCATGCACGTGTTCTATAATACAAACATTACATCAAACCCAACGTGTTCTTATAAGGCATTATGTGGCGAAAAAACAAAATCAGACAACACGAAGCCTACAAACGGCATGGAAATCAGTTTTAAGGCCAAGAAACAAAAACAAGTAACTCCTGAATCTCCCAACGTCACTTTGCACATTTTATGAGGATTTCAGAATAAAACATATTGATGAATGAAATGAGTGAGTTCCACCATTTACTTTTTTAGTTTACATGAATTTAAAGTTCACAAGTGGAGGGGGCAGCAGGAAGGCTGTGTGTTCAGGTGTGAAAGCAGAGACCGTTCACAGGTGGTGACAGTAGCACGACGAACCGGGACGACGCTTTCAAAACACAGAGAATACATTCATGGAGACCTTTTTCACAAAAAACCAACGCAGACGGAGAAACAGGACGCCAGCAGTTTACGTTTCAGAATGCTCGAGGCCGGAGGCAGACACCAGTCAACGTGGTGTAGAGAGTACGGGTGTGTGTGTGTGTGACCCAAATATTCTCACTGTCCAATCAGCTTCCACTGATCCGAGGCTCACCTCAACATTAACAAAAGAATCCCAAGTTGTCTGCCTCCAGATGAATCCAACCACACAGCCAGTTATCTAGGTTTGTTCACATCTAGAGATAAACACTGATGTGATGCTACTTCCTCTTGTAAAAAACCCTCCAAAGCAAATTCTAAGTACCAGCACGGCAGGATCCACCTAGAGGAAAACAACAGACTCCAGATCCGATGAGCCACCAGGATCACCGTTGTGTTACGCTGATCCTGGACCTCTCTATAGGAGGACGTGTCTAAGTGAAAGTGGTGGAGGTGGTGCTGCGCTGGTGTCCGCTCCGACACGTTTCCCTGAGAACCCCAAACATACCTCTCCTATAACTACAGCTATGGGGACAGTCATTTGTGGTCCTGAATGATTAAAAAAAAACAGAACAAGCAAAATCAAATCAAACAACACACACATTTTTACAAAGCACCATGGTGCCGCATTACAAAGTGAAGACATTTTAAAAGCTAATATTCACAAATAAATGACCTTGGCAGAGGGCGACCTTTCCCTGGAGTCCAAGAACACACTCCGAACACGGCATGTCTTACTTCTACGTACAACAATGTGCTGGTGGTAGAAAACAAACGTGTTGCTGTGAGCTCCTCTGCAAACATCCGTTTGGTTGCTCCGGCTGCATTTACAGAATCAACAGGTTCATAACTGGCGATTTTCCTCAAATACGGATAAATTAGATTTTATAAAAACATAATCCACAGTGAACTCCCCCGACTGGCTGACCACGTATGTGCCCTGGCACCGCGTCACACAGACTCCTATGATACAACATATACTCCTAGAATACAGGTTGTACTATTACCACGAGATGTAACTCGAAGCGGCCTGATGCCCTCTGGTTTTAGGTTGTGTTTACAGCATTAGGCTATATACTTGTATCTTCTTCCATGTGTGTGTATACGTGTGTTTTTTGCATTCTGAGTTCCAGTTTGAATGCTAACTTTGGCTTTATGCCATAAAACGCTCCAACAGACGATGAGTTTGCAATAAAAACATGCTGGACAAACTCAAACTCTTCACAGTTTGCTTCAATCTCCCACTCTTCCTCCCAGCTCGTTTCCTCACATATATTTTTATTTTCTTTTATAAAAAATAAGTTATTGCGCATCCAAAAAAGTGCATCGTTTCTTTGAAAAATATTTCTTTTACACGTTTCCGTTCCTCTTTGCATTTCCTGCGTACTGGGTGGGTGGGTGGGGGGGGGCCTTCAGTGGGTTCAAGTCTCCACCTGTTGGCTTCATCACACCACTCCACTAGGCCGGGGGGGTTGGGGGGGGGGGGGGGGGGGGGGGAGACAGGAAGATGACAAAAGCAGAGTCTTGCTATGCAATAACCATGGGAACATCATCTGAGAAACCGCTGATCATTGGAGCATCTTCGTCGTCGTCACCTAAAGAACAGGATGAAAGCACAACGCTGGTTTTTAATCAGATGTTACCCTAAAGGTCCTTAAAAGGTTCAGTTATTTCAGGGGATTCATTCACCTTAAAACTACTGAACTACTTTGTTTTAGTTTGTTCTACCAGAGTCAGCACCGCTGATTTATTCTGGCTTAACGCACCTCCACCCCGACAACAAATCATTAAGGCTGTTCCTCGAAGCGAGCTCAGTGAATAAAGGCCTTTAAGAAAAATCCTCACTTTAACTAGCATAGCAGTTCACTCCGGGCTTATTCGGTTCACAAATGATGCTCAGGTGGATTCAATCCTCACTAGTGGGCCATTCCCATCTGTACCGGGTCGGTCCGGGCCGGGTAGCGTAGGTTGTTTACATATCTGGGTGGCCTGGTATTTTTCCGGGCCAACCAAGGCTCATTCTCAGCCCTCTTCTCGAGGGGGTCTGCTTCAGGCCAACCAGGGCCAACACACCCACTGCTGAAAGCAAATTCACACCTTCCATTAGAGCAAGCCTCTGATTGGTGGGTAGAATCAGCCCACATGGGCTTAAGGCAAGGATGTGTGGAATCAACCGGGCCAGGCTGGGGCCGACTGGGGCTACCCGGCCCGGGCCGACCCGGTACAGATGGGAATGGCCCATAATTCAAGCAAGGAGTGAGACGCACACGCTTCCACAGACAGCCCTGTTAATCGATGCTAGATAAATGAGAATGGAAGGAAAGTACCTCGTTCTTGTCCCAAACCGAGCAAGGATTATTAATCCGTGCATACGAGGACGACAAAGAGACCAGAACTAAAATAGAGACCACCGGCCGCTTGATTAAAGCTGTGTAGCTGGAGCTAATTTGAAAGCTCAGCTCTGTTTCTCCACATATTTTATTCAGGTTTTCATCATTTACGTATCGTTTTCATGTTCAGTTCTAGAGTCTCGGTGGCTTTGTTTTTGCTGAGCAGCTGTGAGTTTTAAAGGAGTGCAATGATCTCTAGTAGGAATGAATGCCTTGTAGGTCATCAATGTACCATTTCTCAGATCTAAAAGCTGCCCACATCACCGCCGAGCGTCAGACGACAGGCTTTGGAGTCTTATTTCCTGATATTTGGACATCTCGCCTCAGACTGGATAACAGCAAAGCAACTCTACCACTCACTTGTAACATGGATGTTTTACCTCCAGAAATAACACAAGCCTGGAGGAGCTTCTGCTTTGTGGTGAAGTTTCTAATGCTAAAGGTTAGCTTAAACAACAGCCTCGCCCGTCGTGGGTCAACATGGGTGAGTCCACGAATGTTAAGTGACAGTGTGACGTAGATCTGAGTTTCACCGTCTATTTTCCATCAGAAGCTAATGCAGGAAATAGATGTAGGAGACTATTTTCATGTTCAGCCTGCATGAAAAACTCAGAGTGGGGAAATGAAGCTGGGACTTTCAGAGTGAGCCTGGCTTTGGGGAAGAGCCCCCAGGTCGGTGCAGTCTAACTTTGCAGGAGAATGAAGAGCTTCATAAAAACAAACAAACGTTACCCAGTTCATCCCCAGAAGAGAAGATGGCAGAACCTAGACGAGAGTTGTAGTGGGAGTTGGCAAAGGCTGTGAAGTTGTTCTGCAGCCGACGGTGTCGCACGTAGAGCGCCACCAGACCCCCGCCCACGACCACCAGCAACAGGAACAGGACTGGAACCACCACAGATGCCATGTCCCTGGAATGGTTCTCAGTGTGAGAGGCATCAGTTGTCCCTGAGCAGGAAGGAAAAGAGCATCTTGTGAGGTTTGTTTTAGAACAAGAAGATCCTGAATAAGTCTAACCCAGCCGACCAGTCTGAAGGTCTCTACCTGCTGAGGGGTTATAGAGCAGCAGCGCTGGTTCTCCACACAGCTGATCGCTGACCAGGCAGCGGGCTTGTACGGAGAAGGTGTAGTTGTGTCCCACAGGCAGGCTGTTGATGCGGAAGTAGGTTTCTGTGGTGTTTCCCAGGTATGACGTCTGGCTGGTCACACTGTCAAACATGTGCACTTCATAGCCCTGTGAACCAGAGGAGGGAGGCAGGTGGATATAAGGAAAAGCAACAGAACTTTCCCACGGGATTAGATGATTTGCTCCAAACATGAGGAGAAACATCAGACTGGAGGTGAGTGTCTCACCCTGCTTTCATTGAAGCCCTTGTCTCGGACCGCCAAGCTCTTCCAGAAGAGAAACACATGGTCCTTCTCTGTCAACATCTTCAAGGCTTCTGGAGCAGGAAGAGGAACTGCAGGTGGAGATAAGCAAATGTCTGATCACAGTATTCCCTCTTTGGTGTGGAACAGCAACATCCTGGATGATCTAAACTCTTATTTACTCGGTTAAAAGTCCAAAGACAGCGTGACCTTTGCGCTGGCCCTCACAGAAAGTTCTTCAAACGAACTAAACAGTCAGTAAGCCTACCTATTCAGGAGCTGCACACACACACACACACACACACACACACACACACACACACACACACACACACACACACACACACACACACACACACACACACCTGTGCTGAGGGTAAAGCTGGCCTCTTTGGTCATGTTACGCAGGCGGATGGAGATGATGTACCTCCCTCCGGGCTCCAGGCCCTTCAGCAGATACTCCACCGTGTTGTTCTTGGTGGTCAGCTTGTAGTTCCCTTCCTTCTTACGGATCACGTCCCTCACATTTATCACATACGTCTTAGAAGACAGGCGGACACACAATTAAGACAAATTAAAGGGGATTCAACACACGCGCACACACACAGGGCGGCGCCATACCAAAGGAGTGTCGGGACTGTCGTAGGGTGGCTGCCACTTTAGCGTGGCCTGAGTCTTGTCCACCCACACACGGTGGAGGTTCCTGGGTGGCAGCCTCTCGTTGGGAATCATTTTCACCACGGCGTAGTCAGACGGAGGACCCAGGAAGGGTGAAACAACTCGAGCCTGAAGACGCACATCGGGACAGATCAGCATTACACAGCATCAACATCCTGGATGGTACTGATGGGACTGCATCAACAGAATCTGACCTCAGGTCAGCTTTCCTGTTCCATTCCAATTCATTCATTTAAAAGTAGATAATGAACCAGACTTTGACCCTCCCTATCTACTGAGTTCTTACTTATGGTTAGTACTCCAGAAGTGGAACTAAAATGCCACGATCTTGTGTCGATATGAGATCTACAGAAATCTGTCTGCTGGATTCAACATCAGTTTAATTATTTCAGACTGAATACAGTTTTTTTTACCTGATTCCTAACACTAATGCTTCAATTCGCACCTTTATGACCAAAAGCACGACAGTGCCTATTATCCATCCATCCTTTATCACCCGCTCATCCAGAGGCGGGTCGCGGGAGCAGCAGTCAGAGAGGCCCAGACTTCCCTCTCCCCAGCCACTTGGGCCAGCTCGTCCGGGGGAATCCCAAGGCGTTCCCTGGCCTGCCGAGACACATAGTTCCTCCAGCGGGTCCTGAGTCTTTCTTTGAGTCTTCCCCTGGTTGGACGTGCCAGGAAAACCTCACCAGGGAGGTGTCCCGGAGGCATCCTAACTAGATGCCCAAGCCACCTCAACTGGCTCCTCTCGATGTGAAGGAGCAGCAGTTCTATTCTGAGCCCCTACGGATGACTGCTTCATCCATCTTTTCTCTCACTCGTGAACAAGACCACGAGATACTTATTCCACTTGGGGCAGGACCTCGTCCCTGACCTGGAGAGGGCCTTCCACTCTTTTCTGACTCAAGACCATGGTCTCGGATTTACAGGTGTCGATTCTCATCCCAGCTGCTTCACACTTGGCTGCAAACTGCTCCAGCAAAAACTGGAGATCACGTTCTGATGAAGCCAACAGGACCACATCATCTACAAAAAGCAGACTCAATCCTTAGGCCACCAAAACGAATTCCCTCAACACCTTCCATCCATCCTGTTTCTGAACCCACTTGTCTACGCAGGATCACGGGGGGGGGGGGGGGGGGGGGGGGGGGGACTGGTGCCCATCTTCAGCAGTTAGTGAGCAAACAGGCGGGGTACACCCCGGACAGACTGCCAGCCAATCGCAGGCCTAGAACTCCTGTCCATAAAAGTTAGGAACAGAATTGGTGACAACGGGCAGCCTCGGCGGAGTCCAACTCTCACCGGAAATGAGCTCGACTTACTGCCGGAAATACGGACCACCGCCAATTGTCAGTCCAAAAAAAGACGATGGACGATTTATTCGACACTCGGACTGATTTGCGAACACAGAAGCCCAAAACAGATTTTTTTATACAAGCGCATCACATATGTTTGCTGGAAGAGAACTTTATATTTTCTTTTTGTTTAATTTTGCATTTGTAGTTTGGTAGAGCGACGTATAAACGGCCCGTATTAAACACGGTTACAATGTTTCCCTGTGGTGCCGACTGTTGTGGTATTTTATTTAAGCTAAATGTTTCTTTCTGAACAAAAACTTCTGAGGTTCTTTCTTTTATAAGTGGGGGATGGAACGAATCGCTGCTGCGTTGGGACGCACTCTGAGGAGGCAGCTCGCTGCCAGAGGTCACATGATCTATTTATCCCTGTCACTTTCATTTTTTAAATCATGAATAATCATTCGTTAAATTTCAATTCATTTGAATTAATATTTAGTCCAACCAGGCTGATCAGAATGCCCCAGTAACATGAACAATGCAATTACACGATATTGCTTAGATTAGGAACATTTCACCTGCGGCGGCTCGGACGCACGTTCCTCCTGCGCCGCGTAAACCTGAGCTGGTCACCTGCAGCTTGCGTGTCTCTAGAGAACTTGCTGAAGAGGTTAGGAGCTGCTAGACTGTTGCCTCAGACAGACTCATGGCTGTTTAAATAATGTTCTGGATGGATCCGTGCTCTGCTGACACACTCGAAGCAGGTGCTGAATAACGGCGAGCGCTACTTCAGCCAAAGTTTTAAATCAGGAAACATTTCTCCAAATGAAATAACCAGAAGCCTTCCAGACTCTGAAAGATAGAAGGGTTTCCACTTTCCACTCAACGCTGCGCTGTAGTGCACGATGTCGAGTGCGTCACAGACGCTCTCCAAACCCCTCGTCAGTGCGCCGCTTGCACGTGCACTGTCAGCAGCCAGAGGCGGGGGAGGTGGGAAAAGGCTCAGATGCGCCGATGGAGATCTTTTCTTGATTGTTACCTCCACAATGTTCTCTGTGCGCAGTGTGTAAAATATTCGTCAATAACAAACAAACAAATAAACAAATCGCTGCCTGTAAAGACAACCGTAATGGTCGATGGTCAGTTCATTCGTCCCATCGCCCAACCCTATTCTGTGTTGGGACTCTGTGGTGCAGCAGAGGATTTTACAGACTTCAGCGTTTAGAGGAAAAACTCACCAGGAAGAGAAACTGTTCGTCGCTGTCGACAGTCACCGTGAGGCTGAGGGAGGAGGTTTGCATTTGACGAGGTCCACGGTACAGGTCCAGGAATGAGGTGGCATAGAACACACCATACACCTAAACAACCAATGAACATTACTGCACTGATGTGTTTAGAGTCGACGCTTAACATGAACATTGTGACTCTAGATTAATCCTATTTGTGGCAGAAATATTTCTTCTGGACTAGACTAACTAGTAGAAGGAACCAGTGAAAGCAGCAGCAGGAGCAGATTTGAGGTTCTTCTGCGGTTCCGTGTGAAACATGGAAAATATCTGATCTCCTTAATGTTAGCAGAGCCCTGGCTGCGTCACACACAGTTACGTGTATGATCGTTTGTTTTTTGTACCACAGCAGGAAGACCACCGCTGATGGAGCACTCCACAGCCGTCTGGTTCAGAGCCTTGGTTTTGAGGAGGGGCCGGTCCGGCTGGGTGCCTTTGGTCTGGTGCTGGGACAGAGTGGTGGGACTGTCTCCGAAAGTGGTGTGAGCCCAGACAGCCACTTCATAGAGAGTTCCTGCTGTCAGGTTAGCAGCTGCAAACACAACAAACATCAGGCTCGCTGTTTTAGAACGAGGCAAAAACGGACAGATAAATGTCACAACTTTACCCCTGAGGACCCCCTCTGTGATGGTGTAGTTTATGCTCTCCTTCACGTGAGTGTCAAACTGCCAGGACAGAACCACCATGTAATAATTTACCTGGATAAGAGAATTCAAGAAACATCACCATCTGAACAGCATCACTTCAGAATCCCAACGCTCACAGAGAAGCCCTTACATCATACTGAGAGTTAAAGCCGAACGTCAGGCTGATGGAGTCGGTGCTGATGCTGCTGCTGGTTACAGAAGGTGGAGGCAGAGCTGCAGCAGAAAGCACACAAACCAACAGTTTTATTCCACCTTTAACCTAAGTGATGAACAAACAGCTACTTGTGATATATATATATATATACACACATATATACAAACACACACACACACACACACACACACACACACACATATATATATATATATATATATATGTATATATATATATTTTTTTTACACTTTGAATGAAACAAATAGAGAGAAAAAATAAATGAAGAGAACTGAAGGAAGTTATCTTCTGGCTTCACTAGTAGTTCAGTTTATAGAACTCCTGTTTCTGGACCCACGTTTCCTCCTAGGACACCTCTGCTGTGTTCTAAGAACATCTCTTTCTTTGTTATTAATAAATGAACAAGCCAAGAAAAGGACTGGCAACTTCTTGACTGAGAGCCAGGAAGTCAACAGTCAGAGATTATATATCTTCATTATTCTACTGCTTTAACTGTATTTCATCTTAGTCTGACAATGAAAAAATGATAATCCATGTGGAGACCTCAGAGACTGGGACGTTACTCGAGGTGAATCATAAGCTGGACAATGTTGTAGCTGCGATACCGGTATTAGTGCGCAAAATGGATGTCATCTTGGAGAGGGTCACTGGACGGTATGGACAAGTATAAAAACCCAAATTGGCTTCACTGAAGGACTGGAATGATCAGTTTAAAGACTGAAGGCAGAGAGGAAAATTATCCCAGCCTGACCCAAACAAAGTCTTGTTATCCGAATCTGATGCCCTGGCAGCCTTGAGCGGCTACAACCCCCCACGAAGGAATGCAGACAGATGCTGTGAAAACCTGACCTACCCCCCTCCCCCCGCCTTCGGATTGGTGGACTTCAGCCTGGCGAGGTCATCAACCTGCAGGAGTCAATGTGCTCTGCGCTTCTCCCAAGATCTCCCTCCCACCTGTGACTGTACAGTAGATGAGCGCCGTAGATGCTGTTCTCGCTGGGGGAAACAGGGTTGCGAATGACCACAGTCACCAATTCTTGTCATGTGTCTTGCCCATGTATGTCTGATCTCTGAAGTGTGTGTACTGAAACTCTAATTTCCCTCTGGGATTAATAAAGTATTGATTGATTGATTGATTGAATGATTAATACACAACCAGCTTACACATTATTAGGTCCACTTTAATAATACCAGGTTGGACCCCCTTTTGTCTCCTAAATCACCTTACTTCTTGGTATCAATAAGGTGTTGGAAACGTTCCTCAGAGGTTCTGGTCCACTCTGACATGACAGCATCGCACAGCATGACGAGACCTTCCTGTTCCACCACATCCCAAAGGTTCTAGACTGAGATCTGGTGACTGTGTAGGTCGCTGGAGTCCAGTGAACTGATGGTCATGTTCTAGAAACCAGGTAGAGATCATCGGAGCTTTGTGACATGGTGCATGATCCTGCAGGAAGTAGCATCAGAAGATTGGTCCATGTGGTCATAAAGGGTTGCAACAATACTCGGGTAGGCTGTGGGGTTTAAACCAGGCTCCGGTGGGACTGAGGGGTCCAAAGTGGGACAAGAACACCCCAACCACCACCACCATCATCATTCCACCAACAGCAGCCTGAACGTCGCAGCTGAAATTCAGACTCATCAGACCAGGAAAGGTTTTTCAGTCTATTCTGGTCCAGTTTTGGCGATCCTTTGGGAATTGTAGCCTCGTGTTCCGGTTGTTAGCTGACAGGAGAGACACCTGGTGTTCTGCTGCTGGAGTCCATCTGAAGCAGCTGCTGTGGGTTCTGCTGATCTTAGTTAGAACCAGCGATTATCTGAGCTGCTGCTATCTTTCTATCATCTCGAACCAATCTAACCTTTGACCCCAGAGGGTCAAATCCCAGCAGATCAGAATGCTCTGAGCTACTCAGTGCAGCCATTGCTGTGACAGCAGCAGCTCAGTGTTGTAAGTATCAGCCAGGCTGTCTACGGTCTGAAGGAGATGTTGTTGTTCATTATCAGAACATGTATGTTCTTTAGAAATGCTGAGTGAGCACGGGTCTTTCCAGTGAGTCAGAGTGAATATTAAGCATCAGCATTATTCCTCTCAGATAAACAGATAAAAAACAAACTGGGTTGGACCAGCTCTACTGATTATTACCATCCATCCATAAGCCTCCTGAAGCTCATCCAAACCATTTATTGAAGGGAGGCTTCAAACCCACTAAATGCCTTTTTAAAGTTGAGCACTAGATGGCAGTATTGCACCACAGTTTGAAAAAAGACCATTGAACCAACACAGATGAAGAGCAACCTGCCTTTTTTGGGAGTGATGGCTTTAATATCAGTCCAGTTCCCAACCCCTCGACTGGTCACAGCAGCCACCTGAGAAACATCAGCGACAGCAGGTGAGAATCCCACCAGCTGAGTTTCTTCTCATTATTGACTTTAAGCATTTTAGAAGAGCAGTCTCACCCTGAATCGGTACAGAGAGTCTGGCAGCAGCCTCTTCACCTCTGTGCTCGTTTCAGAGGATCTCTGGGACGTCCACTCCAGACCTCCAGCCTCGGTGTACTCTACCTGTTAACATGCAGACAAATACAACCCACTAAACCAATCTGATATCATCAGTCATGTACACTGAAAATGTACCTCTTATAAAAGTGCAATTAAAAACCTACATATAGTACAAATGTAGGATCTGATGCCAGCAGCAAAACAGAATCAATAAATTAAATAAGAATGAAGCCGTCGTATTCTAAAATCAGCTCCTACAGTTACAGCTGATCACAGCTACCTCATGGTCAAAGGGCCTCCCCACACAATCCTGGCATCAAATTCCAACTTGCTGCTAAAACAACTAAAAACAATAACTCACAATGTACTCCCTGATCAACCCGTGGCTGTTGTCCGGAGGACTCCAGGACACCCAAACTGTCCCATCCTCTCCGTTGTCACATGTCAGCTGCAGGTTCCTGGGAGGGTCAGGAACTACACAACATCAACACATAAACACACAAACATCCATCAAGATCCAAAAGGAGACCAGACTGGGATGTATTAAACTGCAGAAACAGGAAGCCATTGGTCATTTGGGCTGTGGAAGTAAAAGTCAATCCAGATAAGGGTTTTCACCACAAACATTGTCAGATCCCAGCCCTGAACTGAAGGGTACAGTGGACCATGTGATACTCACGTCCCTCTGGAGTCCGGACTGTGATCACCTCGTTGCTCTTGTGCAGCTTGCTGAGACACTGAGTGAGAACCTTCACGTGGTAGGTGGTGTCTGGTTTCAGCACGGTCAGTTTGTAGCTAGTCTTGTTGCTGTGGGTGTCCATGTTGGTCCACTGCTGGGTGCCCACCAGCCTAAATACATCAGAACAGTCATCGAGGCATCAAGGCATGAAGGCAGAATGGGTCTGAGCTGCTCCTACGTCATTCCTATAAGAGACTGGTCTGATCACCTGTAGTATATGAGGAAGTAGCATGAGGTCTGGGGAAGGTTTTTAGGTCGGGACCAGGTCAGAGTGATGGCACCCAGAAAGTCCGGTTTCCACTGGAGGTTCTGAACTTTGTAGGTGAGTGTATCCACTGGGAGAGGACGAGAGAGAGTAGATTAACACGTGAACATGTGAAGTGGTGGCTTTTGATTTTTGATTATAATACACAACATCAACAGCAGGGGGCAGCATGGGGCCATAAACTCCTAATTCAGCACTTCCTACCAGCTTCTAAAATACTTTTGAAACCAGAGTGTTACTTCCAGCCCTGGGTACCTACAGGTGCAGTTGTACTCGTCGCTGTGGTCAGAACAGTCCAGGAAACCATCACACTTCTCATGGTCCAACACGCAGGCTTCACCGTCAGAGCAACGAGTGCCGTTAACGCACACCAGAGGCTGCTGGGTGGCTGCAGGCAAACAGTTCTGTTATCAGCTGTTCAGTCTGTATACCTGAACTGTGGGCAAATCAGTTATAATCAGTTATTCAGAAGCATCAAGTGTACTTTTATAAATATTTAAATGCTTGGAATCACTGACAGAAAAATCTTGTTCCCTTCATTAAACCAAAACTCATTAGCCCATGATGTTAACCACTACCTCTCAGGAAGGTCGCGAGGACCTGGTGTCCAAAAGAAAGACCTGGGTCAACTTTCTCAGCACCAAGTGGAGCTCTTCCACCAGAGCTGCTCCTGATCTCCGACTCCGGATGTAGTGGTCATGGACAGAATTTTAAGACATGACGAGGAGGATGTCTCGATGGGACACCTCAGGGTCTCAGCTCTGCTTTATGCAGATTATATGGCGTCTTCAATCCCTGACTTCATCTTGCACTGGGGAGGTTTGCAAACAAGTGTGAAGTCAACTTCTCCAGTATGAGGTCCTGGTTCTATAAGGGAAACAGGTGGGACAATCCTCCCAGATTGGTGAAGAGAGCAGGACCTGAGGGCTTCATCTGTGGTAATGAAGGTGTAGATCCAGTCTGGGGCTGCACAATCCTTTGCAAAAATATTCTCATCCCAAGTATCAATTTTCTCAGCATCAATATCAGAAAGAACTGTAATAAAGTCACATGGGCTCTCTTTACTATTGATGTCCACACTGGGCTAGATGGCAATGGCCAAAACACTAAAACACAGTGAAAGTGTTGCTAGTGATGTTTACTTTGTGTGGTAGAGAACTGCTGGTCTATGTACATGAGATCTGGATCAGGCCAGAAAGAACCAGATCCAGGGTCCCAGCAGCTGAAATGACCGTCCTCTATGGGGTGGCTATGCGAGACTAGGAATAAAACCTAGATTATGCTTCTCCATCTGCAGAGACACGTAACGCCATTATCCGTGGTTGCAAGGTTTCTTCTAAAGGCATGCCATCACAGGTGGAGTAGAGCCCTGCTAACCCCGGTTTCACACTGCAAGCATCAACGGAACGGAACGGCAGCGAAGCTGCACCGCTTCAAACTGAATCCAGTTATAGTCTGTGGAGTGTTTCAAACCAGCCGCGTCCCAGAAACGGCATGCCGTGCCGCGCTGCGCTGCTAAAGATAGGATCGAGTTCTATTTTTCTGCAAGCCGCTTCTGGGACACGTCAATTTCCGCAGTTCACATAGTGCGAGACAGGAAACCACACGGTTTCAGTGTAAAATCCACGGTTATTTTCAAAATAAAATGCAACGTTGCGATGTTATATATAACTTATCAGTACGTGTAACCGAATGGCTTTGTTTACCACCAGTTTCTTTCGAGAAGTGCAACGGTGTGATTCCTCGCGGGGGTTGTGATCTCTCGATGAGGAAGGTGTTGGAAGTCTCGAGGGATTTTAAAATCTCGCGGGTACAGCGGGGGGCAGCGAGGAAGCCGTGCCGCGGCCATGACTCTCCCGGTGTGAAAAGGACCGCTTTGAAGTTCGCGAGTGAGCCGCTCCGCAGCTGTTCTGTTGCGCTGATGCTTGCAGTGTGAAACCGGGGTGAACGTAACAGACTGCAAGCCCGTGATTGGTCAGGATGCCACTTCCTTTACCAATGTCAAAAGCTCCGCCATCAACCCCTCAAAAGTAAAGAATGACAGCTGAAGAGATAAATGGTGGCAGACACAGAACAGGCTGAATGCGTTTTGCAGAAAAAGTCCGACGACATAAACGTTTTTACAATCGCGACTGAAGAAGTACAAAGATAAGTTTATTTATTTGTATCAGGAAACTAGGAGAAACATGGATTTCGAGGTGGTGACTGCATGAAGAGGGAGGAGAATGAGGGGCAAATAAAGTCTCTGAAATACATGAAGCACAACATAAACACACAATAATAAACACACCAGAGGCGCGAATGCAATGATGGCAGGATGCCACAGAAAAGCCCTCCGCCCTCTGTTGTCCTGGTGGGGAAATGCTTCACAACACTGACACGCCAGGAGAAGTAAAAGAGGAAAACGTCTCCAACAATACATGCGAGTCCAAACCTGCAGGAGGAGAGCTATAAACTAGGCTTTACAGCTGCTGCTCCTCTCCATCAAAAGAGTAAGCTGAGATAGATTGTGACTTTTTTTAGAATTGCTACTAGTCGCCTTCTTCTGGAGGATTTTAAGGCTTTTTCCACTGAGAAGAGACCCAGAGGTAGATCCAGAACCCACTTAAGGGATTTTATGTCCTCCCTGGTTTAGGAACACGGATCCTCCAGGAGAAACTGGGAAGAGGGAGCTATGGGTTTCCTTTCTGGACCTATTACTTCTACAACCTGATTGATTGATTGATTGATGGATGGATGGATGGATGGATGGAGTATAGCAGAGTAGTCATAACATAATCCTGACAGCGTCCTGTACATCGGATTGCAGCTGCTGAAATCTTATGCTTACAAACAAAATGAGGAACCAGAAACAACAAGAGCAGGCGTGCAACCACAGAACAACACTTGTGTCCTTCCAAACTTACGGCACTGAGCTTCATCAGAACCATCCTCACAGTGGAGCTGGCCATCACAGCGCAGCCACTCAGGGAGGCAGTGGGGGGGTCGGCGACACTGGAACTGACCCTGACCACATCGACCAGGAGATGGAGGAGGGGTCTGAGAGGGTGCTGGGGCCAGCGTAGCTGAGTTATTAGCTGTTAGAACAAGAAGTGAAACCATTATTTGGTTAACTGTGTGTTGAGCACACGGGTACAGAACCAGCTGGGTTTTAGACTGGGGAACCAAACTGAGCTGGGGATGGGATTAGAACCAGACCTTCTGTGAGGTGAAAGTGTTTAAGAGCTCTGAGAAGAAAACTGGAAACAAGTCGGCGATGTCCTGGTTTGAGTTCAAGTCGTAATACTGTCATTCCCTGGGTCCTGCATTCATTACACACTCGTGTGTTTTGTAACGGAATACCACTGGTGTGAGCAGGGGTGTAGCAAGCTTTTCAAAAGTGTGGGGGATGTTGCCCTTGGATGTCATCGGCTGTAAACCGAAACTCTTACTGGATGTTTGTTCTTGTTTTTACTTTAACAATAACATCAAACGGTTTGTTACATTTACTTACAGTTTGATAAGAACTGCAGATGAATGCAACATTAGTGGTGAACAGTGTTGGGCAAGTTACTTCAAAACTGTAATGCATTATTTATTATTTGTTACCCTCATTTTAAAGTAATTCATTACATTACAATATTACTGATTTTAAAATGTAAGGCATTACACTACTTTTGCATTACTTGAAGTAACTTTCACCAAAACAACTTCAGTATGAATCTGGTAATGTGACGCTCAGTGAGCTCATGACATATATGTGGAAGGTGATGTGGTGTCTGAGCTAGGGTTGCTGTTAAAAACAGTCAGATATAATAACAGTGCTTTAAAATGATTGTTTATTAAATAAAAACAACAACAATCTGTACTCTCAGCACGCTGCCATCTTATAGGGCCATCTGAGCAGGGAGTGAGGTGGTGGGGGCTCCAAGCCTATATTTGCCTTGGTCCCCACATGCCTTGATACGGCCCTGGATGTGGGACTGACTTCTGGGGTGATCTGATTCTATCCTATGTATAAATATTAAATGCTTATATATTATTGCTTTCACTGGTAAAAATGTGTATTGCGGATAAATCTACCTACTTTTTTTCTTTTCAAGCACTTTGTTTTGTTTTCTTGATTTTATGTGAATAATTTCCTGCCCTTTCTCTCTCTAACCTTCCTGCATGCTGCATGTTTTCTCCGTCTTCCAGAAAAACTGTTTCCTAGACTTCCTACTTTCTAACTAATCAGCCAAAGGGATCTATCGAACGCAAAAAAAAGCTTAATATGCGCTGCGCTCCAGCAGCAATGAGTTGAAATGACCGGGGTGCAGATTATGAACTCAGCTGAAAAGTACATGAAGTACCAGAGAATATGGGCTGATACAAATGATCGCAAACGAATTGCTTTGTTTTGGTGGAATGATTTTGTGAATATAACAGCGGCCGCGCGTAGGACGCAGCTGGAGTATTTGAGCCATTACCGCTGCGTCCTCTCTGCTCAGAGAATGCCCGCAAAGCTGAGTCCATAAATGACGTCATATATGTGGATACTGGATCTTTTTTCAGGCTTCCTGCAATTTGAATTTTTAGGAAACCCGCATCTTGATTCTGGGTTTAAAAATGCGTTGTAATTACCGCGTTACTGACAATTGTACCGAGTAAGTATTACCATTTTCTTTCCCTGTAATGCCTTACATTACCACATTACAGCAAAAAGCAATGCATTACAGTAATTAATTACTTTTGTACCGCGTTACTCCCAACACTGGTGGTGAATGATGGTGGTGCATGTGAAAATCACTAATAAACATAATTATAGGACAAATCAGTAACAATTTAGGAAACACAAAAGAATCACAAACCAAGATGCAAACTGTGACGAACTCTGAATTAAGGATTACTAACCATAAATTTCGGAATGACCTAATTCCATTACACATTTACCAAAAATGAAACCTGTTGCGTTACGGCTTCCAGTTTGACCCATAAAACTAGAAGCAGCTCAAGTTATGACCTACAAAGTACACCACTTGCAAAATGAAGTATTTAGCTGTACATTCTTTGGATTAAAAATAGCAAAAGTGGAGGTAAGATTAAAGAAACACCTCGCAGTAAAAACTGAGAACCTGCTGCATGTGAACTTTGGTAACTGTGGGCAACTCAGTGGGTGAGATAAAAATGCACTATTAGAAAAAAACCTTTCCACAGCTGTAATGGTCACACTGGCCGAATCCAAAAGAGACATCCAATGCACACACTTAAAAGTACTTGAAGGTATTTTTAAGAACTATTTGTGTAACATCTTTGAGCGAGGCAGACGGGTAGACTGAGGTGTTAAGTTATTAAAGAGACACAAGTAACATTAACTCAATTCGTTTAAAAGAGCCAAATATGCTCTTTCTGCTTTCCTTACATGAGACAAACTGTTCAGCTGTCTTTCTTCTGTTTCCCCTGTCCAGCTAGTCTTTATGGACGTGGCGCACAGGGTCTCCAACACGTCGCTCCTGAGCTACCAGTATCGCACATGTCCCTCATCTGGAAGCCAGCCATCCCACCTTACTTCAAAATTGACAGCCTAATTAACAAGCAGGGTATCCGCAGATTTAAGGGAGCCAAATTTAAGACATTTTAAGGCCACTTTGACCAAATTTAAGCTATTTTTTAAAATTAAATTTAAGCCATAATTTCCAGCTATTGCCTGGAACCAGTGCTAACCACGTCGTGAACGTGAGATTAGCCATCCAGTTACCATTAATGTTGCACTTCCCCATGGCGTAAACTCCCACTAGCATGCTCATCTAAAAATAGCCCCCTTTCACAACCAACCGAATGTGTACGGTTCCGCTTACGCCAATATCATACACAAAAAATGCTGAACTAACTAGAAATTCACGAATATTTTATAGAAATAAAAGAATCTTGTTTATTGGATCTATGGTAATTTAACACCTTTGGAAACTATTTAAGGATTATTTGTCATTTTTAAGGATTTTTAAGGCCTTAAATTTGGAAAAGCAAATTTAAGACTTTTTAAGGACCTACAGATACCCTGACGAGGGACGGCTTTTAAACTTGATGGCAAGCCGTTCCTGTTTTCTGGATGATCTAATCCAAAATTAGCTTTGGTGGGCGGGATGCTACTAAATAAACAAAGACATCAACGGCTCTTTGAAATGGCTTTGGCATCAAATTTGAGCTATTCTGACTTTTAATTATCTGAGTCAAGAGCAGATAGAGGTACTAAAGGATGTGTTTGAATCTTCTTTGACGGAGTATGGCGGACTGCCCTGTAGACTGACATCACGTTGTTTGTTATCCAATAGCATGTGGAGACCGTTTAAAAGACAACCACCCGCCCCACAACTGAGAGCTGTCGATGGACCGTGGCCAGACTGTATACTCACATATATAGGATGGCTTGGCCGGCTAGAGAAACCATACTGGTGTACAAAAATTAGCAAAACGGCTTAAAAAAACACCCACATCCCTCACAGGTGCGACGCCCATGGGCGTGAGAGGTTTTCCGCTCAACAATATCAGAGAAGGAGAAACAGCCAACTGCTACCACTTGAACATTAGGACAAACTACCAGATTCCCAAAAAGAAAAGCATCACTTGAAGTCACGGACAACAAAAGACGTTTGCACTTAGAAAACAGCGACTGGTGTTTAGCGCTATCTCGTTTCCTCTGGTAATGTGGGTTTATGGTTCTCACAAAAGCGTCTCAGGGAAGAAACACGAGCGGAGGGAAGAGTGTTCCATGTTTGCGTTCAAAACCTAGCTTGTTTTCTAGATTCGCTATAGCAGCTTTAAGAAAGATTATGGCTGCCGTCCCTGCTAACTTTAATCAGTGTGTATACAAGTGTGTGTGTGTGTGTGTCGCACAGGATGTAACACAGCACTGCCATATCTCACTATAATGTTTGGTCCCCCAGCACAAGTGACTATTAAGCTCAGTGAGTAGTGAGAACCTGTGAGACATCCGAGCTCATCGTTTCCATCAGGACAGTCAGGATAGCCATCACACACCCAGGTGTTGATGATACAAGCTCCAGATCCACAGTGGAACCGGTTGGGGGCACATGTGTTAGCACCAGGTGTCACACTGTGAGGTGTATCACCACCTGAAATGGATGAATAACATGAACACACACATTTGACATGTGTAACGTGACGCGGTGTTGATGCTACGGCGTAGAAGGACCTGTACACTGAGCCTCATCGGACCAGTCTCCACAGTCATTCTCTCCATCACACTTCCACCAGGTAGGAATGCAGCGCCCGTTCTTGCATTCATACTGGAAATATCTGGAGCAGCCGTGGACGTCAGTGGGAGCAGCTGCAGTGAGGGAGAGTTAGCTTCAGATTCTGGTGATCCAGTAGAATTCTTCACAACTTAAAATGAAAGTTTAGTGGTAAATAAAACAACATCACTTTATTTACTGCCTGCCTGTGAGCCACGTGGTTTCTCTGCTAACAGTGTGTGTGTGTGTGTGTGTGTGTGTGTGTGTGTGTGTGTGTGTGTGTGTGTGTGTGTGTGTGTGTGTGTGTGTGTGCGTGCTCCGCGTTCTTCCAGCTCACCACAGTTAGCTTCATCAGAGTAGTCCCCACAGTCGTCCATGCCATCACACTTCCACTCCAGACTCACACACACTCCATTGGCACACTGGAAGGTGTAGGCATCACACACTTTGCTAAATTCAGACGTCGTGGCTGAAAGTTTACACATGAAGAGAGTACATATTTTACTGCTTTAGAACATTTCTGTTCCTTCTTCAAATGCTGACAGAATATTTAGGCTTTGAGGAAACCAAGCAGCGAATAGATGCAGCTGGTATTGAGAGAAGGAACAAATATAAGGAACTGTTTTTGTAAGTAGAACCATTTTTTAGGTGAAGTTGACACTGTGATGTTAAACTGAGGCTACATCTAATCTGACTTTTACACCCACTTGTGACTTAATAGTTAAACATCACAGATCAGATTTTTGGTTTGTGTGAATGGCATCCCCCAAAAAATTCTGAATAGAGGATTAAGACCTGCTGTGTAAATGCAGCCTAAAGCCTGATTCATGCTTCTCCGTCAGCTCCGCAAGGGACAGACACGCACGGATTGACGGAAGCGTTTTGCTCTCATACTTCTCGTGTCTCCTGGGGAGTGTTGCAAAGCAATTCCCTGGCAGGACACCAGAGGGCGTAGCGCTGTTCTGTGGTATCCTGTCATGTATCGGTCCAAGATCGTGTGTTTATATTGTGTTTTTTGTGTATATAAGAGACTTTTAACACGGACATATTTGTCTCTCATCCTCCTCCACCTCTTCATGCGCTCGCCACCTCTAAACCCACGTTTCCTGTCATTTCCGTCCACAAATAAAACGCTTGCTGCGCATCTTTTCACTCCTCCAGTCATGTTTTTAGAGTTTTTACGTGAGGTATTCTTCAAGCTTCTCCGTGTCTGCCGCTAGTTATCCTCGGCTCTCTTTGTGTTTTTGAGGGCGCAATGGCGGCGGTGTAGACGACAGCGGCGTCCTGACCAATCACAAGCTTGCGTTGTCCGTCTCGACTGACAGATGTTTAGAAGAGAGAGCTCGACTCCGTCCGTCCTTGCAGAGCTCTCCGGCAGGCCCGCAAGGACGTTGCGTGTCTCCGCACTGACGCAGACGGAGAAGCATGAATCCGGCTTAAAGGTCAAGAGGCCGTTTGAAATCCATTTCTGAGGTAATTCTAGGAAACCGTTAGCTATAGCCTGTGTGTGACTGACGCTCACCACATCCAGCGTACTGTGCATCTTCATCAGACCCATCTTCACAGTGTTTGATCCCATCACAGACCAGGGACTGAAACAGGCACTGAGCTCGGTTCTTACACACAAACTCCATGTAGCGAGTACACAACGGGTCTACGAGGAAAACAAACAACAACACGATAAGTCACTTGTGTCTGTGTGGAGAGGTCAGGGGGCGGGGAATCAGAACAAGCATCTTAAATAACTTTTTAATCTACGCTGGAAAAGTTCTGGAATATATTTGGCAGCAGTTCCTAGTTTCTCACCGCAGTTGTGCTCATCGGCGCCATCTGGACAGTCCTGGATCCCGTTACAGTGTGCTGCCGCTGGGAGGCAGGTGTCATTGGAGCAGAGGAAGCCTTTACACTGGGTTCCCTCTGAAAACACGTGATTGGATTAAGCATCCCCAGCTCTTCAGTTTGAGCAGAACGGAGACAGCTCATCATCCAAACTGAGACAGTTTCTTTCTCATGACATCACTGGTTTGACACTAAAATAATCACTTGTAGCAAAAACTGAACAACCAATTAGAAAGAGATTTCTAGATTAAATGCAGAAATCTAGGAACATTACGACTGTGTGGAAATATTTGACAAAGGATCTTGAATGTGGAGAAAATAGGAAGAGGAGGAGATAAAAAAATGGAGGAGGAGATGTAGAGGGGAACAGAGGAGGATGGTGGAGAGAAATAGAGGAAGTTGTGTGGGTGTGGCGCCCCTAAAGGGGGCAGCTGATTCACTCCTGAAATTATCTAATGAAGCATCAACAATGGCCATAAAACCCCACCTAGTGCTACGCCACGGAGAACCAGAGTCCACCCTCATGCTTCTAGACAAACTGATACTTGTCTTGGTGAGAACGCACCTTAAGATTTTCACATGCTTCTTAATCATCACTGACTAAACTGTTTTGTTGTGAAACCATGATTTCTACTAGAGTCAACAATGAGGTCTGTCAACCTACCACAATACTGAGGATCTTCATCCGAGTTATCCTGACAGTCATCGTCTCCGTCACACTTCCAGCGCAGTGGTATACAGTGACCCGTGTGACACTGGAAGCTGCTGGGCTCACATGTATGGCGGCCCACTGGGGCAACAAAATGAATAAACAGAGGAAAGACAAAAAGAGCTGGTAAAACAAGATCTTCATGAAAATAAAATTCTTCTATAAGCAAAAGTGTGCTTGTGTTAAAGTAAACACACACAGGGTGGTAGACTTTTTGATTTTGTTGGACTAAATCTTTATTGGCTGTGTTTTGGCTCAGTAAGTATCAACCTGTGCAGTTGGCTTCATCAGACCAGTCCCTGCAGTCGTTGTCTCCATCGCAGCGCCATGCCTCACGAATGCAAACACCTCGTGCACACGTGAACTCACCAGCGCCACACTGGTGAGTCTCTGAGAAAAGAATCAAAACCGGAGTTAGGTCTTTATTATGAATATAGTCTGTTCATTATTTCCTTCCTCTTATCCACTGCGGGTCCAGAAGAGACCCCCACACCTCCCTCTCTCCAGAAGAGGCTGACCAGATGAAGGAACAACCCCAGCTGACAGTCTGTATTTGATCAGGAGGAGCAGCGCCTCTCATCAGACATTATTCTTCTTAGTGATTCTGTCATGATCTTTGCGTGTGTTGAATTATAATGACCAAAATAAACGCCATTATGATTTTTTCCCCCTAAGTCCCTCCCCTGGCCTCTACAGCAAAACCAATCATTACGCGAGCCTAGAGCGTTGACCAATAGAATTGCTTGTCCACAAGAAGGAGCTGTGAATAAACAAGAATGCACCCAAGTTCCCAGCATGCACTGGGGTGCACCAGTCTAGCCTGAATGCTAACGCGACTGGCAATACATTTAAATCAGTCTGCAAACTTCAAGCTAATGGGGTAAGTGGAGGGAAAGGAGGGATTTATCTTTAGTGTTTTGGAGCTAAGTGATTAGCGTAGCAACCTTACATAACATCTGACTATAGTTTTAGCCTGTTGTAGCGTTAGCTCGCCAGGCTAACGGACCAAAGGTCTCCTGTCAGCTCATTTCTGCTGCACAACCACACGCCTTTTTTTCCTCAGTGTTAGCAACATACCCCTAGAAAATGAATGCAAACAGTGCTAACACCTCCAACACAGAGATGCAGGGGAGAGCTGAGAGCCAAACAAGCAGAACATCTCACCACAGTGCTCCTCATCACTGTTGTCTCCACAGTCATCTTCATGGTCACAATTGAAGGCCAATGGGATGCAGGAGCCTGAGGCCACACAGTGGAACTGATTGGAGGGATCACAAGTTGTGGTGGCTGCAAGCACACAAGCATAAACCGAGACTGAGACAGATGATTTCCTGTCACCGAGAAAGGTTCTGTGGCTGGAAACTCACGACACTCCTGCTCATCACTCATGTCGCCACAGTCGTTGTCGCTATCGCACTTCCAGATGCTGCTGATGCAGCGGCCATTGAAGCAGCGGTACTGGTTGGGCAAACAACTGTGTTCTGACGAGGGGAAAGAAGAATTATCTCATAAAATCATCCCAATAATCTGCCCATCTCCTCAGAAGGTCACAGGTGGTCTCACCAGTCTTGATGCAAGTGTTGTTTTGGAGCTGGTAGCCAGGGGGACACTGGCACCTCAGCTCTCCATCATGCATGGTCATGGTCGGAGCTCCTTCAGGGCAAACACAGGTGTGCTGGTGGCCAGGCTGAGGTAGACACAGCAGGCTGCACGGCTGGTCGGCGCAGGAGTTATATCCTGATGCCACACAGATAAAAAACCAAAGATGATCTGGTTAATGGCGACAGGGAACGTAGACACAAGGCTCTGTCCCATCTAATGTTCCTCACCTCTGTTCTTCCCTTTATAGAAGATTTTGAGATCCATGACTCCAGTTAGTCTGCCGACAATCAGCTCACTGCTGTGAGATCCAGCTTTTGAAGCTTTGAAGATTCCCATCTTAGACCAGTCATCCCAGTACAGATCATTCTGAAATCAACGTTAGACTTACATTTCTAAAGCAAACTGAAATTAAATACCCATTTCCGTGACTTTAACTTACTTTGAAGACAGCTATGGCATACGGGTGGGGAAGACCCTCCATGAGAATGCTCCGCTGGGCCCCGCTGAAGTCTGCCCTCTCAATGCGGTCGCTGAAGGCTTCTGTCCAGTATAGCCAGTGGTCGTCGGCCGTGATGCCGTTGGGCCAGCGGACACCCTCTGAGATGATGCAGGACACGTTGGTTCCATCCATGTAGCTCCGGTAAACACCAGCTGCTCTGTCTCCCCAGTCCGTCCAGAACATCAGGCTGCGAGGCATCAGTTTAGCATTCAGTTAAACAGAATTTGCACACATTCTTTTATTTTCACTATGAGCTAAACGTTAACTCATAAAACACCACATCTGGGCATTAATGTGCAGTGAGATAGTAAACGGCTGCTTCTAGTCCTACAGGCTTGTTACCACAATGCGACCTGAAACCATTTTACCCATCAGACCCAGTATGTTGTGCTTCCACTCCAGTCTGAGTTACTGGGTGGATCTGACGGATTAAGTTGTTGGGGTTGAAGTGGAATACATTTGTTAATTATGACCAATAAGATGTGATGATTCCATATAAATATGAAATCTGATTGGTCTTTGAATGTTTAATCAGAAGATTCTAGGGTTCTTTGCTTATTCAGGGACCATAAACACACTCCGTATTAATTCAGACAGAGTCAGTATATAGTTTATAAAATGAATTTAATTCTTTTTCCTAAACTAATAATTCATACATGACAAGATATGAATAATGAGATGTGGTGTGGTGGATCTGGAGTCATTTAATGTGATGTGTGAAATGTAATGGAAGCTTTGTACCTGAGAGAAAATGTGAAGTCTGGGCTGTAAAAGAATTTGTTGTTTGTTTATAACTGGAGTTGTTTATCTAAAAACCTCATCAGACTCCAGTATGCAGGCTACGATACCCGCTTGTATGAGTCTCTCCCGGCGGTCCGGTCAGGTCGGTGAGGTCACCGGACGTCGAAACCACAATACTCAAGAGATTAGTAGCTTCCTCTGAGTTTAGCTTCCCCAGCCGTGAGATGCAACCCGGGGTCTGCAGATTAGGTGTCCAAGGTGGATGTCTGAGAGTTGTGTTAGCTCTGAAAACAGCTGTTGTGTCTGTAATCACTTGCAGCGTCGCAGAAAGGTTTTGACTTAAGATCAAAGGAGATTGTTTTAAAAGAGGCTTCCTTCCCGATTTGGCCGAATTGGGAGTCAGCTGGAAACTGAATTAATCAGGAAGTAAATCCTGTTTTAATAAACTCCTTATTTATCATTTCTGGCGTATTCTGGCAAATCAGAATGTGCCATGTCTGAAAGGCTTTACCAAAACATCCCTCAGAGAGAACGCCTTCGTGCAGATACAAAGAGGTTTTTGACACTGTGAATGAGAATGTCTTAAAACTCTTACGTGAGGTGTATATTAACCTTAATACGAGTGCAAACAATGATTAACTTATTAAATCAAACTCATACTGATCATAAGAGCTGAAATGAGTCAATGTAAGAGCAACATTCATTTTAAAGCCATCATTGCTTTAAGCACAGATTATTCAAACATTTCATTTTAAACATCTTGTTCATTCAACACATGATTATTTAACTTATAACTGTAAAGTCAGGGAAGCTTCACTTTCTTCAGAGTGAAGAACGCTGTCTGGCTTCTACGCAGAGAGTGCAGGGGCCCGTGACAGTTTATTCTGACTTCGTGTATGTAAACACGCACTGAGCAGAACCTGCTGGGTTTGGAAGGCCAAATAGAAAGTGGAGTTATTTCTGTAGATGAAAGGTCACTACGCTGGTAAATGTAGATGGTGAAAAATTGACCCTTTTGGTATGTTACAGTGTGAAGCACAGACAGTAAAATCATAGATCAAGCCTCTGGCTTCTGTAGGTGAAAAGTGGAGCCAAGAGATTTTCAGGAGCTACCAAATATGCTAACTGGAGATGTAGGGTTGAAAGTGCCTCCTGCTAACCTAGCTAAAAAGCCCCGCCTACTTACCTGTCTGCATGCCCTGCCTACTCATTTGGCAAAAGTAATAAAAAAAAAAGTCAACACCTGGAATTAATTGACAATTTCCCATTAGTACATGGTGGGGCTGCATTATGGGCCATTCCCATCTGTACCGGGTCGGCCCGGGCCGGGTAGCCCCAGTCGGCCCCAGCCTGGCCCGGTTGATTCCACACATCCTTGCCTTAAGCCCATGTGGGCTGATTCTACCCACCAATCAGAGGCTTGCTCTAATGGAAGGTGTGAATTTGCTGTCAGCAGTGGGTGTGTTGGCCCTGGTCGGCCTGAAGCAGACCCCCTCGAGAAGAGGGCTGAGAATGAGCCTTGGTTGACCCAGAAAAATACCAGGCCACCCAGATATGTAAACAACCTACGCTACCCGGCCCGGACCGACCCGGTACAGATGGGAATGGCCCATTAGACTACAGCTCCAGGGTCGTCTTTTAGTGGTTATATATCCAGCTTCCCAGGTTGTTAGGAATGCTAGCGATAACCAATCAGAATTTAGCAACTAGAGAATTGAATGAAACATGCTAACATGTATCATCAGATTAGGTTTTTAGATTACAGCGTGCTGCAGGGAATGGTGCACCTACATGTGCACAAGATGGTCACTTCAGGTAAGATGCAGGCTCAAACTGTAGTCTGATGGTGGTTGCACTGAACTTATGATGTGAACAAGACAGAGAAATCAGACCTCAGCAAAAGAAAAACAACAAAAACAGAATTGAGCATTAAGTCCTGCAGTGTGAATGCGGTTCGAGACAAAGCAAGAAAAAGAAAGTGAATCACACGAGACAAGCCGAAGGTCTCTTTTTCAGAGAAAACAAAGTAAAATAAAGTTTCTTTAAACTTTCCCAGTGGTTCCTCATTAGAGAGCATTTAAAATAAAGAGTAAAATACTCGAATGTACGAAGGTGCGAAGGTAACTGTTGTCTGCTCCTTTCGTCTTTGAAAGCATGAGTGAGGTTAAAGGTCAGTATGCCTGGTAGCAGAGTGGGTAAAGGTCTGCACTCGGAGAACATCAGAAATGTTCCAACAGGTGTTTTTATGCTTGTGTGAGGTGTTAAACAGCCACGTCAGTGTTTTTACCTCTCAGCAGGAAGCAGAACCAGAGCTCGGGGATGTTCCAGGACGGACGAGTTGAGCAAAGTGTGACGCAGGTCCCCATCAGGATTAGAAACCTTCAAAAACAACAAGAAAAATAAACAATAAATAAGTAAAAATCTAGAATACATTTTTCTGGTAGTACATGAATCAGTCCATTTGTCTGTGCTTCCTGTGTGAAAAGCTTCCTGTTCTGGGTTCACCTGTGAGGGTGTCTGCATTAACACAATTTAACACAACAGCTGATCAAGTACTGACCTATAAAGCACGACTTTAAAACTGATTAAACGAATCACATAATTTAACGTGACTGTCAAGATTCAAATATAATAAGAGATAAAGTCCTATTAGTCGTCACACACTGGTGAAAATATTTCTCTGCATTTGACCCATCCCCTGGGGGAGTGGTGAGCTGCAGACACGGTCGTGATGGGCAACCATTGGGTGGTTTAACCCCTCAAATTAACCCCTGCTGAGTGTCAAGCACTTTGTCCCATTTTTAAAGTCTTTGGTATGACCCAACCATGGATGTGAACCCCCGATCTCCCAATCTCAGGGCAGACACTCATACCACTAGGCCACTGAGCTGGTTTAAACCAAAGTGCAGGTGAGCTCTGGAAGATCAAACACTTATAAATGCTTCGAGATAAATTTGATGAAACATTCAAAATGATTTGGGATGAATACATTTATTTCAAATTCACAAAAAGACATATAAACACACACACACACACACACACACACACACACACACACACACACACACACACACACACACACACACTCAGGAGGACTAGGGTTGGGCACACCTGATTTAAAGCAAATACGATGTGGTTGATCAACAAACATACATTTACATTACCTCAATCTTCTGGGCTCCAGCATCAACCCAATAGAGCAGTCTACTGATGGGGTCAAAGGTCAGAGCCTCCACATTCTGTAGGTCTTTCCTGACAATGACCTCCTGACCTGAGCTGCCATTTAGACAAAGACGCTGCGGGAGGATGAAGGGCATCATAATAAAAAAATTTGGTCATAAAAAAAAAGAAGCAAAAAGAATAAGCAAAGGCTTCCTCAGGGGAGAGTCGACCACTGACCTGAATGGTGTCTACCGAGATGTCGGCCCAGTACAGACAGTTTCTGTCGTAGTCAAAGTCCAGAGCCACAGCCTCCCTGAGGCCAAACAGCGGCAGGGCCTGATCCGCACCTGTGGCCAGGTCGTAGCGATGGATGGAGTTCCTCACAGCGTACAGGATGAACTCATTACTTTCTGCAAGATCACAGCAGATATGAAGTAAAGCGCAACACACACACACGTGTGTGTGGTGTGTGTGTGTGTGTGTGTGTGTGTGTGTGTGTGTGTGTGTGTGTGTGTGTGTGTGTGATGCTGTTAAGAGGAAATGAAAGCAGTGAAATACCTGATTAAGTCTCACTGATGTAGGGCTGCAACAACGAATCGATAAATTCGATGAAAATCGATTACTAAAAGCGTTGGCAACGAATTGCGTCATCGAATCGTTGTGTCGCACAACTCTTCCAAAAGCGCCCCCCCCCCCTTCCCACCCGCCGTTGCGCGCAGACCAGAGCAAGTCAGATCAGCGCGAGGGAGAGCCGCAGATCAGCGCGAGGGAGAGCCGCAGACTTGCACTGCTGCGAACCGGTTCAGCATTGTTGCACAGCGATCCAGGCAGCTGCTTCCAGCGCACGGTCCATTCTCAAAGTGGCACAACCAAAAAACTATAATTAGCACACGATCGTTCTTGTCTGCACATGTTCTCTATTTTCTGTCTTATTTGTGCCTGAAGCGCGCTACTGCGGAGCTCATCACCTGTGCTGTGGTGATTTCACCTCACGCAGCATCGAAAACGCGCTCTGCGCTTTGCGGTCAGGAGATCCCTTTAATCTGCTCAAAAGTAACTGATGAGGTGAAAAAGTAAGAATCCAGGCAACAGTTTTTCTGGAGAATTATGAGGAGATGCAGGAAGATGAGAGACAGACAGGACAGGAAAATAGTTAAATAAAAACAAGAAAACAAAGTAAAATGTAGGTAGATTTATCTCCACTACATGTTTTTACCTGTATAAAACAATAAGTTATACACATGTAATAATTACACATCTGATACAATTCAGATCACCTTCAAAACTCAGTCACACACCCAGGGCCGTTTCAAGACATTTTGGGGGCCAAGGCAAAATGCCCCCCCCCCCCCCCCCCCAATAACTGGGCTCCCCAGAAGCCTCTGTGTAATTCATACCCTCTCCAGGAGTGTTAGTTATACAGTGTTTATAAAAGCCCCTCAGACATTACTGACATGTTCTAATATTATCAGATGAAAAACTAAATTATCAGACATGCTGTTTCATCTGCTTCTTTTCTAAACTTGCAAAAAGTAACAAAACCATTTGAAAGCCACTATTTGTGGATTCTCTGAAAGTTTCCATGGAGTGTGTGACAACTTATTTTTTCATTGATCCTATCGTCTAATCTCACAGCTGAAACAAGCATCCTTAATAATCTGTGCACAGGAAGCTTACCGATGCTGTAGTAAAACAAAAGGTATAATAATTTATTATTAATAAAACCTTGTTGCAGCAATAAAGCATAAAAATGAGATTTTGCATTAAATATGCAAAATATTTACATATGAATTGTTTTAGAGCCCTTTTATTGGCAGAATCTGATATTAATTTAGTTCTTACAAAAAATGGGTCCCAACATGGTTTGTGTGGTGTTGCCATAGTGTGACGTCATAGGCACAGATCCCCTGTCCTCTTGTTTGGAAATGGAAATATGGTCACCCTATATTAAACAAACTGTCCACCCGGGCTTTTGCGCTGCACAGAGACGCTTCGCTGCCTATGACTGAACGTCGGTTGAGAGTCAGTCTCATGCAGACTGACCAATGAAGAGAGGGCCTCAAGTTAAGACCCTCTCCTTACCCTGGTTAATATATTTTTGGGTTCAGTTGCTTTCATGTGGCCTAATGTGAGTCTATTTGGGATCATTGGAATGATCAGCAGCATTTCTTGATGTGACTTTATGGCAGTTGCCCAGGGCATCATCGCAAGGAGGACGGCATTCATTTACTTTTGTTTTATTTGGTATTTTTTCAGTCATTTTTGGAAATAGTGATCAATTTTGATTAATTCACAGCCTATGTTTAATTACATTTAAAATAAATGTCAACAGATGAGATCAAACAAAACAGATGAGAATTGCCCTTAAGCTGTTTAACTTGGACCAAGCATTTTAGGTCACAGATAGGTGTAGCTTAGGGTCTCTGTCTATACACCTTATAAGACAATTTAGGTGATGGCATGTTGTTTTTCTGCTATTGAACTGTTTTCTAATAATGTTGTGTTAAATAAAGTGAAGGAAGGAGAGAAATAACGTTTCCCTAGCAGTTTTTAAAAATTTCCCCATGTAATCCGATTAATCGATTAATCGTGTCGAGACCCCATCCGATTAATCGATTATCCAAATAATCGTTTGTTGCAGCCCTACACTGATGTGTAGGAAATTAGCTTTAGCTTCGGAAACACATCAGTTAGCCTAGAAATCTAGACCGTCAGAAGCTGAAGCAAAACAATTTCCCTGTCTAGCCATGCTTCAACAGAACCTCAGCAGATCTACCGTTGGCCTGAGCGGTATTGTGGTATGCCAATCATAGCGCTCTATTGATTTGGTGGGCGGACTGATGTGATGAAGTGAAAAAAGATGACGACGGCTTGTTTGAAACGGCTTTGGCATCAACTTGGACCATTTAGATGGGCTTTTCCTTGAATCAAGCGCAGATAGAGGTACTTAGGTCTCTTATGTAGAAAGAGGATGTATTTGGATCTTCTTTGACATGGAAACGCAGACTACCACCAAAAACAAAACTATAAACATAAAAACTGTAAAGCCGGGCGTACACTGTGCGACTTTTTCACTCGTAGCACTCAGCTTCAGCTCAAACTGTACGACTTCCTCGCAGGGCAGATCTCACGAGTCAGGCGCTCACACTGCACGACCCACTTCTCGGGTGCGACCTGACTGCTCACACTGTACATCTGGTAGCAACACGTCGGACCTAAAATATGCTAAAAATAGCAGTTTTTACTCAACACGTCAGACTTTTTTGTCTGTTGTCCTTCGGGAGTGCTGCAGGAGGACACACAGGGATTTATGGGGGTTGGATGAGGAAAACGAAATAAAGAAAGTAAATCTGTGTTTTGTGATCAGTTTAATTTGACATGAACACGACAAACACGCTTTCTTGACAATCTTTGTGAGTAAAAAAACCGTGTAGAAACAAAAACGAACAACGTGTGTTATTAGGGAAATAGCGGGCGAGCGGTGTTGATGCAGGATTGCGCATGCACCGTGAGCGGTTCTGGTACTTTTTGGGTCGCAGCTGCTCGCAGCGCCGCTTCAACAGTGCGATACCCTCACGAGGGACGAGCGAAATATTAAACACGCCAGAAGTCCGTGCGAGCTCACGATTGCTGATCGGTAGCTGGTCACGTGGTGTTAATCGCCTCTCGTAACCCCCTGTACACTACACGACCGCTCGGCGCAAAACTCGCCCCGATCTCGTGGATTCTCGCACGAGTGGAAAATCGGCTCAAAAACGTGAAAAAGTCGCACAGTGTACGCCCGGCTTAAGTTAGAAGGTCGGTTGTTGTGATTCAGTCCAGATTTTACTGCAGAAAGGACTTGTTAATCAAAAGCAATCAATTGTTCTCTGATATTAATTTTTCATTATTTTCCCAAAATTTTTTAATCATGGTATTTTATAATAAAAACAAATATTGTTCTTGTGAAACACCTCGTGGCGTTTATCTTGAGGTACTTTAAAAAAATCCTTTCTTCTTCTTCTAAATTAGAGAAAGAAACATCAACAAGCTAAGGCGAAATCAAACTGAAATAGCAATAGATTGCAAATCAATGTCCTAAAAATTTTCAGCCCTAGATATGACAACAAAAAGAACGAAAGACCATCTCTTACCTCCGACAGGACAGGGCAGCATCTCTCCATCCAGCCTGGACTCCACGTCTCCTCCGCTGCAGCTGTCACCAGGAACTTTCCTGTAGCTGAAACCAGAACACCAAACAGGAGCTGACACAGATGTCTTCCAAACACGCATGCATGCATGCGCGCGCACACACACGCAGAGGAAAAGACCTGTCCCAACTGAACATTGCAGGTGTTGTCTTTACGCTGCTGTATAAATAATAAAAATCTCAACTGTTTAAATCTGTTAGGTAGGTGAGAACAGGTCAGGTTACCCTTTGCTGCGACGGTAGGTGGTACCAACAGGACAAGGAATTGGAGGAGCATAAAGGTCACCCAGGAACTCCGGGTCAGGCACACACACCTGAAGAGACAAGTCCTCACTGAGCTTGAATCCGTAGTCACTACAGAGATGAAGGCAAGAAAAAAAAAACACTAAAAACTGGGTCTCATTAATACTAATGTTGTAAAAGACCCTTAGTGAAATATTTTTCCTGATGTTTAATTCAGAGTTAGTCTGTTTTTAGTTTCACGTCCAGCTCAGGCTAAATGAAAAGGATGTATGTTAAAACATTATTAATTAGCTTTAGAAAAGTAATTTAGTGGAAGTGAATTAATGTGAGGTTGTTAAAATACGTTGCATTAAAATTACTAAATAGTTAAAGTCATACTTTGCAACTTTTTCACATTTTTAAACCATTTTCTTGAGCCAGTGTGTGCTAAATGACCCTTTACAGGGTTAATTCCCCCACCCTGTGGCCAGAGTATCACACTTACAACTTCAGAGGCTTGGCGAAGTGAAGCAGACATGTCTACATGTTTTAGATCATCAACACAGCTGATTTGTTTAATTTAACCATTTTCCATTGACCACAGTATCCCTTTAAACAGAGCAGGGTGAGGGGGTAGAAAGATGCAAGGATTTTCTACAACATTTAGATCAGAGCCTCTGGAACACGATTGGGTAACGAAGAGCCTAAGGACTGTTAACACTAAGGCTACGTTCACAAAGCAGGCCTTGATGCTCAATTCCCATTTTTTTTATGGGGCTGTTCACATTATGACATCAAACTCTCTCCAGTGTGAACGCTCCACGCCCCCAAAGCGACTCGAATGTGCTGAAGACAAGAAGTCACAAACGGTGGAGTCGAAACCAGGGGAGGCGGAGACGTGACGTGGAGAGCTTCACTGACAGTTCATCCACACATGCCAAGGCTGGAAACTGTTTTGAAAACTTTAAACTATTTTAAGCCTAATTCCTGCCATCTTCCCGAATCATTATTCACTCAAAATGTTCTGGTATTAAGTTCATTCAAGGAGAACCCTCCTCCTCATACAGACTTAAGACTGGTGAGATGCTTTGCTCCAGCAGCACCTCCTGCTCCCGTTCTCATGCTCTTCTGTATTTGTAATTACTGAATGTTGACAGGATGTCCAGACAGACTCCTGATCCCTTAAATCAGCGCTTTTCTTCAGGAACGTCAACACACGATGCTCTCCTCCGCTGACTCGGTGACGTAGGAGGCGGATTTAATGCAATGTGACCGTTCAGACAGCAGTCGCTTTCAAAAACATCTGATATGTATCAAAATCAGTACCACATATGAAAGTGACATGTGTTGGATTTGAAAAAAAAATCGGCTCTGTGCTGTTCAGACTGTTGTGTGTCGGGGTGAGTACTCCTCCTTCTCTACAACATCTTTGTGAGATCTTCATTCCAGGAGAGGGCACTCACCAGCTGCGGGGCATTACCAACCAGCGGCAGCTGCAGCTCCTCAGATCAACCGCAGCAGAGCTCTATTTAAGAGGAGAGGGAACTACTTCACGTCGCTGGATGATTAGCTACTCACGGTAGTATCTTGCCTCTCTCAAGTCTTAGGTTATGCTTGGTCTCTGCTCAGACATTTTTGCTGTCACAGTATTTGGATGTATTTGGATTTTTTCTTGGATTCTTGTGTTTGGACCATTTTGGACACAAGTTTGTATTCCTCTTCAGGATACTTGGAAACGCTGAACCATTGATGGAATATACCTACCTGGAACTCACCATAACCCGCCTGGACAACACCTCTCACGGTTCGCCTCTCCTCCTGTTCCTCCTATCCTCTGCCGCCATCGTCTGGCTCCCTCTCCTGGACGCACCCTGTCACACCATCTGCCCTCCCTACTGACTTCTGGACTCTTTCTGGCTTCATTGAACTTGGATATCTCCAGGACACTTTTAGTTAGGTTTAATAAATCATTGTTTGAACTTTCTGCCGTTGTTTTGTGATGATTCTTCATGTCGTGGGTTAAACACCTTCCCAGGGACATGACACAGACAGTCATAAAAAAATCAGATATGAGTCACGTGGGGGAAAAAAAATCGGATTTGATGTGCTTTTGCCTGCAGTGTGAACGTAGCCTTATACCCACCTGACAGATTACCTAACAACGCTGCTGTGGTTCTGACCACATACCTCGATGTTAATCAGCAGCGGCTGCAACACAATCATCTTCAAGGACAGCTCATTGAATTTCTCTCTAGGGGGGTTCTATGCTAATTCCCTTATTGTGATGTCACAAAGAGGGACTTTTGCCAAGTGGCTTGTAGAAGAACATGATTCCTGAAACTGAAGCCCGACAGAATACAAACGGTTTTTATGCCAATCTGGAGTGTTTATAGAGGCAGAAAATAACCACATGACAGCACAAAAAGATGCAAAAAGTTAAATTTGCACATGTCCCCACCATTTAATATGCTGATTATCCCGTTTATGTAAAAGTCAATCTAGAAACAATAGTTAACAGCACCTTTAAACTCTGGAGAAAATCAGTTGCATTCTGTGTGTCAGGACCTCGTTAAACAGCATCAACCTTTTAAATCTTTATTCTAGATCCAGGGTGGCTGTGTCCAAGATTAGTTTCATCTCACCATTCATAGTCCTGACGTGTACAGGAACAGTTGGAGACAGTAACTGGCCTATCAAAGTCCTCTCCATTGAAGCAGGTAGCATGCGGAGCTCGTCTCTTAAACGTCACCTCTCGGCCCAACAAACAGTCGTTCCCGTGCTCGTCTGATGGAGACCAGAGTTTGTAGTCGGCCTCAGAACATGGAACGCCTGGAGCAGACAAACAACAGGGGAAAGGTTTGGCTAGTTAGACGCAGAAGCTTTTTGCCAACTTTAGGAATGTTTACTAAGCCTCTCTGTTCTGATCTGTTGCTAATCATGTAGTTGTTGTGGGACTGTGCAATATATAGACATGGACACAATTTTTGTCCAGGCTTGTTCCACGAGTTTATTATCTTACAAGTCAGTTTGAGCCGGAAAGTTGTTTTCTAGATTAATAAAAATCAGCGGGTCGATGTTTGAGTGAAGAGACGGGCTAAATCCCTCACCAGTGTAAACAGATAACCGATACGTGGGCCTACAGCGGCCAAAATACCCCAGAAACGTATCTTTTCATACTTGTTGATATGAGTGAATACTGTAAAATGTCAGCCAAGTTCCCTTTCAGTCGATTCACTCGGTACAACGAAGGTACAATGGGACATCGCGCCCTCGTGTGGTCTAGCTGAAGACACATTTAATCACGCCTGTAAGGCAAATGAAAGTAACGTGGCATGGAGGCCTCGCCCTCCACTTATAAGCGATCGCGTCACTGTCATTCCTCAGTTCTTACGTTCTCCACTTCGCTGAGTACACATCTGACAACTAGCTGCGCTATTGAAAGATAGCTTAACCGCTCGCTGACTGGACTCTACTGCCTTCTGGCTAGTATTCCTGCCCACCGAGCGCTATCTTTTTTTGGCTCTTCAGCTTCTCTGCTTTTGCTCTGCTGTGTGTCTCGCAATGAGCACTATGTTGGACGTCGCTTCATAGAAAGCCGCGTCGCGCCCCTGTCCTCATGGCTGTGGATTCTCTCTTCACGAGAAGGACAAACACGTAGCGTGCCTGATTTGTCTGGGAATTCTCCACGCCAGGAGAGCGCTTGTGGACCCGGAGGCGTGCGAGTTCTGTCGCCAACTCCGCCGTCCCATGCTCGAACGGCGCATGAAGCTCCTACAATGTTTCCTGGGAGACGCTGCAGTTTCACAGCAGGACCCCATGCTTTACCATTCGGCCCCGGCTTCGCCCGGCTCTGACGTGGACAGCCTAGTGATCGATGTCCCCGCTACTAGCTGGGCAGATCAGGTGGAGATGGCGGACAATTTAACCGGACCAGACCTAGAGGCTTCTCAGTTTCCTCCTCTGGCAGAGGATGAAGGAGACATTTTGGGCATTTACCCCGGCGCTCACGACTTACTTAAGGACGAGGATGTCCTCTCAGCGGTGGAGTGTTCAGCTCCAGCCACTACTTCAGCCTCTGAGCTGCGAGTTGACACTTCTTTTCTCCCGCTCTGCCGGCGTGCAGAGGGGAGGCTAGAAGTGGGCTGGTCCGCTCCTCCACCTGCACAAAAGAGGTCTCGCTTTTCTGGATTTTACCTTCCCTCAGAACCAGCGGAGGGAAAGAACTTTCTGCCACTGTACCCGGATTTTGTGGCTGAGCTCACGGCATCCTGGGCCTAGCCACTATCCACCCGCACCATGGTCCTGGGTTACGGTCGGTTTTCGGACCCCGACGGCACAGAAATGGCGAGATTGGTTAAGCTCCCTCCGATGGAGCCCTCTCTCTCGGCTTACCTGGCCCCGACCTGCAATAACTGGGTTAATGGACAAGCTAATCTACCCTCCAAGCCATGCCGCTTCTCAGCTGCACAACTGGAAAAGATTTACTGCATGCAGGCTTCCACTGCCCGCGTCCTCAGCTCTTCCATCATGCTCCAGACCTACCAAGCACTTTGCCTGGCCGACCTTGGAGCAAGGGTCCAACCCGACAGCCCACTGACCCCCCTCATCAATGAGATACTGGTCACGTCAGACTACATCCTGCGAGCTGCCCGAGGCGTCGCCCTGCGGTTGGGAAGAGGTATGGCCTCAACTGTAGTGACTCAGAGACACTTGTGGCTGACCTGTTCTAATGTCCCAGACAGGGACAGGGCTAACTACCTGGACAAGCCTGTTTCACCCAGTGGTCTGTTTGGGCAGTCCCTCAACGCTATTCAGACAAAGTTCGAGGCCCAGCGGAAACAGACTGAAGCACTACGCTCCATTATCCCCAGGCAGAAAGGGTGGCGCACGGCACCTGGGTCTGACAGGAAGAACCTGACCTCTCCTCCTCTACCTCAGAGGACAGCCTCTCCAGCGGCAGCGAAGGGCTCGGCCCCAGCCTTTCCCTCCTCACCACTCAGCCTGGAGTAAAGTCCCTCGTGGGGACTCACAGAAACGCTCTGTGAGCTGCAAGAAGAAACCTCAGACGTCCTGATCCGGGGACTGACCTTGTTCGGGTTTTGGACCCTGTTGGGCTACAGAACCCCAGTTTTCTCTGGTTGAAATGGACCGGTTCAGCTATGGTTCAACCCCACAGTCCAAAGAGACTTTGTTTACCGCCCCCAGGGGGCGAGAGTTTTACTGTTCACAAAAACATGCACACAAATGTAATAAAGACTGCTGTTTGAACTCGACAATGAGTGGATGCAATGTGTCTCAACAATGCTTCTCAAATTGGCCCCACAAAGCTGCGTCAACCCGCTTCGCTGGTGAACGACAGCTCAATTTTCACATCAAATCCTGTCTGCGATCAGCCTCTGTGGGAGCGGGAAAAGCTGTGTTCTCCCGCTCTGCTGGAGAACAGCAGCTTTCCTCCGGTGGCAGACATGATGTTTAGAAAGACATCCGTTCTGCTAAAGGGCAGCAGCTCCCCCACCAGGGAGTTGAGCAGTTGCCTCGCGACAAAACTTCACCTCTGGCGAGCATGCGCAGTGCCCCCCTGGGCCGAGCGCACGGTTACCATGGGTTACCGACTGAAGTTCCTGGTCAAACCACCCGTATTTACCTCTGTTGTGCAGACCGATGCTGCGGTCGTGTTACGGGAAGAAATTCAGACTCTACTGTTAAAAGGAGCTATTGGAGCGGTCCCTGTCGAGGATACAAACAAAGGTTGGTACAGCTGAAGGGGGTGGACTTCACCCTATTTTCGATCTGCGTGTATTAAACAAGTATCTGCGCATGTACAGGATCAAAATGCTAACACTCAAACAGCTACTGGATACAGTCAGTCCCGGAGATTGGTTTTCTACGATCAATCTCACAGATGCTTATTTCCATGTGGGAATCCATCCCGATCACAGGCGCTTCCTGCGCTTTGCTTTCGAAGGGAAACCCTATGAGTACATGGTTCTGCCTTTTGGGTTAGCTCTAGGGCCCCGCACCTTTTCGAAATGTTTGGAAGCCGCACTAGCCCCCCCTCAGGGAGGACGGCATCCGGATCCTCGCTTACCTAGACGACTGGGCTCTAGAAGCGAGTTCCTGAACACAGGCAGAAGCTCACACTGCATGGGTACTTTCCCACGTTCAAGCCCTGGGGTTTTCTGTGAACTACATAAAGAGTTCTCTAGTTCCGAGTCTGAGTTTCTCCTTCCTTGGGCTGGAAATTTGCTCTTGGTCAAGCTGAATGCGTCTCTCGGACCAGTGAATAGCTGCACTACGCTGCTTAGTGCACTTTCAGCTGGGAGCCAGACTGAAACTCTGCACAGCTCTACAGCTGCTGTGGATGATGGCTTCCTCCGTAGCCGTGGTGCCTCTCGAACTGTTAAAAATGCGACATTTCCAACGTTGGGTCCGCTATCATCATCTCCATCCATCACATCATCTCTGCCGTAGGTTGACGGTCACCAGAGCCTGCATGGTAGCTCTCCTACCATGGAGAGAACCAGGGCTGTTCTGCCAGGGTTCCCCTATTGGGAGGGTGTCAGAACGCATAGTGGTGACCACAGACGCTTCCCTCAGAGGCTGGGGGGCTCTGTGTGGGGGTTTAGTGGTGAGAAAGGGAGGGTGGGGTATGGTCCTCGAACCAGTCAAGGTTCCATATCAACTTTCTGGAACTGTTAACTGTGTTTCTGGCCCTGAAACACTTCAGTCGTCACCTGAGAGGACATTGTGTGCTAGTGCGCACAGACAACACAACTGTGGTGTCATATGTAAACAGACAGGGAGGAACAAGCTCTCTTCCTCTACTGAATCTGACCCACACATTGCTGTACTGGTGCAATCTGAATCTCCTGTCTCTCAGAGCAGCTTATGTCCCTGGGTGCCTCAACCACAGGGCAGACTTCCTCTCCAAGGGCGGACCTCTGTCAAAGGAATGGAGGCTTCACCCCGAGGTGGTGTCCCAGATCTGGCTGAGGTTCAGCAGGGCAGTAGTGGATCTGTTTGCATCAAGTGCAAATAACAACACACTGTCCCGCTCTTTTCCCTGACAGATCAGACTGCTCCAATGGGATCGGATGCTCTGGCACACCCTTTGCCCAACGTTCTCCTCTATGCTTTTCCGCCAGTGGAACAGATTCCAGCAGTACTGGAGAGAGTGCACAGGTCGAGCAGGTCTCTGATTTTAGTGGCTCCTCAGTCTTGGTACCCGGAGATCATCAGTCTGATGATAGCCCCCCCCTTCAGACAGAATATTCTGTCAAAGGCACAAGGGGAAGTGATGCACCCTCGCCCCCATCTGTGGAAGCTGCAGGCCTGCCAACTGGAAGGTCCAACCTGTTAGCTAAAGGTCGTCCCCCGGCTTTGGTGAATACTATTCTGAGCTCAAGAGCAAGCTCCACTTGATCAGTATGAAGCTTCTGTCTTATAAGACAGCTCTGCTCTTAGCCCTTGTATTGGCTAAAAGAGTGGGAGACCTTCATGCTCTTTTAGTTCACCCTTGGTGTCTGAAAATGTCATCAGATGGCGCTAGGGTCACTCTGCATCCGAGTGACAGTGACACAGTCGCTTATAAGTGGAGGGCGGGGCCTCCACGCTGCATCACTTTCATTTGCCTTACAGGAGTGATTAAATGTGTCTTCAGCCAGGCCACACGAGGGCGTGATGTCCCATAGTACCTTCGTTGTACCTCGTTCCTCTCCTTCAGGGAACAGTGGTTATATACATAACCTAACGTTTGCCTTTGTAACTTTATTAACTTTCTACTAAATGACCCACAAGAGTGTAACCCTCTGGCAGCGGATGTCATTATGTTATGAAATTAGCTTAACATGATATAATTTTATCTGAGCAATAAATAATTAATCATTATTAATATTGTGAATGGTTATTTTACATGAATTACAAATATATTATAAATAAACGTGCCTGTGTGACATTTGAGACATGTAGCCCTACCTTTTGATGTCACGGTCTGCCCCTGCCTCCCTGACTGTGTCTCTCTCCTGCCCTTGATTAGTCCTTATTGTTTTCACCTGCCCCTTGTTTACCTGCCCATGTGTTCCTCATTTGCCCTGTGTATTTATACCTCCCTCCTTGTATCAGTCTTTGTCAGATCATTGTGGTTGTTTGTCATCGTTGTCTTGTGCTGTTTGTTCCCGTCCCACCATTAAAACCATTTTACATTATCTGAAGCCTGCATCTTTACCTCCTGATCTGCGCCACCACACATGGTCCATCAACTCCTACACCCGCAACATGACATTTGATGGACAGACGGAAAGTTGGACTGAACTATCATTTTCTAACCGAAACTGCAACTTCAAACAACGCGAACATGTGATTGTCAAAGATGTAATTTTTTTGTAGTGCTCCTGAAATATCACAACCCAGTCTTTTCCTAAAATCGTTCAGCCCCAATAGAAAGATAGAAAAATACCATGTAATAAGGTACCGTGTAAAACACAATGATAAAAACCTACATGTCTGTTAACAGACAGCTTTACACAGACCCAGCTCAGACTGATAGAGAACGGCTCTAAAGTTCATGTTTGACAGTAGAATCAATGCATTTTTGATGAATTTAATCTGCTCATGAATTTATCTATACAAGTTCTAAAGACAGTTTGAAGGGAATTACGTTGAAAAAACTTTACAAGAAGAAAAATATGCAGATATACTGTATATTGTATATCAGATTTCAGCGATCCAGATTTAAGTTTTGGTCCATATCGTCCACTGCTAAGTCACTGGAATATGTGAGGTGTTTGGCTCTACAGGTGTTTGTGGGCAGTAATCTGGTGATACGACAAATATCACAATACAGGGGAGACAAGACGATATGTTGTGATACTAAAAGACAAGTGATATTTGGAATTTTTTAGATTGAATTTAGTTGGAAAACTAAGGCCAGAGACGCTTCCAAGAAGCTTCCAGTGTTATCGCCAGTTAGATCGAAGGCAGTAAAAACTGCAACCAACCAGCAGTCAAAGTTTGAACTGCACCACACCAAAACTATACAGTAAAAATTGCTTGTAAATTCTCAATGAAAAAGCAATTAAGTGCTTTAATCACAGGGTATTGATATTCTTGCATCCAGTCTGCCAATCCAGTGGAATTGATCCCAATGTTGACACAATATTGTAGAGCTGCATCAACCAACCCAGCCCTACCACATCCAGAGCCTTAAGGAAGTCCAGGTGGATCTCATCCACTCCTGGGACCTTGCCACAGAGGAGTTTTTTGACCACCTCAGTGACCTCGGCCCCAGAGATTGGAGAGCCCAACCCAAAGTCCCCAGACTCTGCTTCATCACTGGAAGACATGCCGGTGGGATTGAGGAGGTCTTCGAAGTATTCCATCCACTGATCCACAACGTCCAGAGTAGAGGTCAGCAGCATACTTTCACCAATGTAAACAGTGTTGGTGGTGCACTGCTTTACCCTCCTAAGATGCCTAATGGTGGACCAAAATCTCCTCCAAGCCATACGGAAGTCTTGCTCCATGGTCTCACCAAACTCCTCCTATGCCTGGGTTTTTGCCTCTGTGACCACCCGAGCCACATTCCGCTTGGAATGTTGGTACCCATCAGCTGCCTCTTGAGTCCCACAAGCCAAAAAGACCTGATAGGACTCTTTCTTCACCTTGACGGCATCCACTGGTGTCCACCAGCGGGTTTGGGGGTTGCAACCACGACATGCACCGATTACCCTCCAGCTGCAACTCCGATCAGCTGTTTCGACAATGAAAGCACGGAAGATGGCCCACTCGGACTCAATGTCCCCCACTTCCCTCAGGACGTGTTCGAAATTCTGTCGGAGTTGGGAATTTAAACTGCTTCTGACAGGAGACTCCACTAGACATTCCCAGCAGACCCTCACAATACGTTTAGGTTTGCCAGGTCTAACCGGCTTCCTCCCCGACCATCAAAGCCACCATTGGTGGTCAGTTGACAGCTACCAACACATGCTGTTCAAATTAAACAACTGCTTCTGCTCTGCAGGTTAAGGCCGGGGACACACCGGCCGCGGAAGCGCCGCGAAGCGCCGAGAAGCGAATCGCTCACGAAATTCGGCCGCTGCTCGCCGCTCCTCAGTTAAGATCAGACGCGCCCCAGTCGAGGCGCGCCTCGGCTCAGCTGTAGTTTTTCTTTTAAAACACTTGGTGTCCTCCATTTCCTCTCTGCCTTTTCTCAGCTATTTTCCTCTACGTGTGTGTGCGCGCGCGCATGTGTGTGTGTGTGTGTGTGTGTGTGTGTGTGTGTGTGTGTGTGAACCTATGGTATGAGTTGTTTCTGCCAGTTGAATCTCTTGGAACCCGCTCCAATTCTGCAGCTGTATCCTAGCAGTTTCTTCCGAAATGGGTACGTAAATAAACATGTTTTTCGAGGGTCGTACAGCTCCTTGTGTTTCTCAACTTCCATAATTAATTTAAAGTCATCCATCTTAACTGCTTGCCTCAGACTTTCTGCCTCTCTGTCATGTTTGCTCCGTGAAAAGACACCCAAAACCACACCCCCCTTCACGTGGTCACACACGCACACAAGTTCGATGTGTGTGTGTGTTCGTGTGGTTTTTCTGCAGTGTCTGATTACGAACACATTTGACTATTGCGGAATTTTATTTTGAAATGCTTTATTTTGTTAACTTTACCGGCCTGCCTCTTATGTCTAGGTTTGACTTCCTGCCAGAATTGACGCGATTCACCCGCGGCTCGCGAAAAAAATAAGAGCCGACGCCGAAATGATCGCTGCACGGCGCGGGCTGGGGCGCTGGCGCGCGCCGGCGCGAGGCGATTCGCGGCGCTTCGGCGGCCCATGTGGTCTATAGAATAGCTCAACAAGGGCGCCGAATGAAGGCGGCCCCATTTTCGCGGCGCTTCGCGGCGCTTCCGCGGCCGGTGTGTCCCCGGCGTAAGTGTGAACTTCAAACACGCTGCTAGCTATTAAAGGTTTCCTGATGCTATGACCCACCTAGAACGTCAGAGGTGTTGACCTGCAGGATGAGCCAGCTATGTCTCTGCTCAGCGTAGGAACCAAAGATGGTGAAGATGGTGCTCTTCTCCCCAGGCTCTGTCAGTAGCTGGTAAACATAAACCTCCTTGTCTGAAAACTTTATTTCAGTCCACGTCTCACCTTCATTGGTGCTAAACCTGACAAGATCAAGAACAATATTGATTATTATTTAGTTTTAACTTTTATTTTTGACTGAATAGTGTTTAACTGCCAGACACTTCTGAACTGTTACCCTGCATTAAACATTTACATTTTTCAAATGCAGAAGTGAAACATTTCCAGTTGGAGACTTTTGAATATGTGAAGGTGAATCCCAGAGGATGTGTAGAAGATTTAAATCAGTCTTCATATTAGATCACCTGTTAAGGTGCACTGTGTAACCCACATTGCTCGTTTCCACAGAGGCATCTTTGTTGGTTGTTGTCTTCATTTATCTCCAAGTTGTTTCACATGCACTCACCCTGCTCCTGCTGCTACCTAATGAGTCCCACCAGGGGCAGCTGCTGCTCCTCTACTTGGGCTTATGTAAATGCCTTTTATTTACTTGCAAACTTTGCCTCGTCTGAAGGTTGGGAAGCATCTTAGCTCAAAAGGAGTGGGAAAAAGTCATTGCTTGTAATATATTATTATATTTATTATATCAATAACACAATAGCATAGCATTAAAATGAAAATCAGCTTGAGTCTTAAAATGCAAGAAAAATTAACAGACAAACTTCTCAATGTCTGATGCAACTGAGGTAAAGTTTTTGTCCACTAGAGACACTAAGATGGTCAATTCTACATACTTGAGATGTGTGGTGGAGCCTCCCTGTGCGATGGCCATCAGAATACCACCGTGGTCCCCCCAGGTGTAGAAATGAGGTCCTGGCAGAGCCTGTGTTGGCATAGACAGAATATTTTGCCAGTCATAAAATTATCTGTAAAACATAAATCTAGAGCAGGGGAGCCCACGCCTTTTCATCTTGTCAGCAACTTTTATTTTAAACATGTGGAACAATGGTTTATTCAATACATTTGCAGTGGTCTCTAGTAGGAATGAATGCCTTGTAAGTTGTTCAAAGGGGAAAAATACACCAGTGCACCATTTCAAGGAACTAGGGGTGTTTCTTAATGTCAAGGCGCCTTGCTTACGAGGACACTGTCCTTCCTTGGTCAAAGAAAACGGTTAAATGGAACAGACTTGCGTCACGTGACTGCGGCTTCCACGGCGGTCACGTAACGTTGCGTGACACGGGAGATAATGTAATATTTCATAGGTATAAGTTTCAATATAAATATATACTGAGGCTTTTACTTTTTAAATTGTGTATATATTTGTTAAATTGAATATATAACCGAGTTACTACCCGCTAGCCGCCGAAGCTGCAACTACTAAGCAACTAACCAACCAACCATAGATAATCTTAGGTGTGTTCTTGCTGTGTCGTTGTAAAAAAAGAATGACAATATGGCAACCATAGATAACTTCTTTGGATCTAAAAAAAAACATTATAAATTAGTTGACTTACTTTTAAACTTGAAATTTACCCCCCAAGTAGCTGCCGGCTTCTGGTCCGCCGTCCTTTTGGAAATACCGCGGTGTATTCTGGGTAATTTTTGAACAAGGCTAGGCTACAAGACACCTCCCGTGTATCCTTGCTCAGCTAGCTAAACGGCTAACAAACGGAGAACACACGCCTTGGTAGAACATGAACATTGGAACACGTCTTGCCGGTTGCTGATGACGTATTTCCTAGGCAACCAGGGCGGGACCAAGACATCACAGCAAGGTTCCTTGGCATTGAGAAACACTGTACAGTTGCCTACAGAAGAGGAGAGCCTCAGACGGCAAGTTTTATTTCCTGATATTTGGAGATCTCGTCTTGGATTGGAGAGCAACGTGACTCTACCCCGGACTCTGTTTCTCTGCAGTGTTGATGTTTTATCTCCACTTGTGGAACATTGAAAAAAAAAAACATACAAAATAAAAACAATCATAAAAACATTAAGAGAAAGTTGATTAAAACAGGAAACTACCATAAAACATGTTAAATGATATGAAAACCAACAAAGAGGGCAGGGCTTAGAGCAACAAGCCATTTCCTCTGGAAACTAAGAGCAAATATGAAGTTGCTTTTTTTGACAGCAACAATCGGACAAAACTAGGTTATGCCATAGATCCAAGTTCCAAAGCACAGCAGCATATCTACAGATGAACCAAGAAAAAAAAAAGCTCAACTGAAACAATCTTATTAAAAGAAATGTTCTGAAAATATGTTGCTGCTGTATGCTGAATGTGCAGAAAGGCAGCTGCATGAATGACAACCACCTATTGGCCCCCCAGGGTTCAGACTAAAGTGCAGCTTGTCTACATTTACAGGTACTGGACCTGCTGCAGTGTTGAAGCTGTCTGTGACTCAGCCGGAGTAGATTGTTGCCATCTGGATCAGGTTCTGTACTGACCTCTTTCCACCGAGCTCCAGCACTGCTAGAAACATACACGTTTGGCTTGTTGGCCAAGTTCCTTCCAACAGATCCTGCAATCAGAGGACAGACATTTTACTCACATGAGCAAAATTATTCATATCCAGTGTTTTGTTTCATCATGCTTTATGTGTTTTGAAACCATTATTTAAAGCATCTCCAATACATAAAGGTCTCATTCACTCATATTTTTCCAATAAATCTGCTGTGGTATAAACAAAGGACTTTACTGTGGATAAAAGCTCTGGTGCTCCCGTTTCGGGGGTAATGGAGATACGTGTGTGCATGTTTGTGTGGCAAGATTACACGTCTTCATCATTGATATTCATGTTATTAAAATATTTCACCTCTGATTGCCTAACAGCAAGGCCACTCTTCCATTATCTTCGTTCTCCACTAATAGTACAAGCCTGAACGTGTTCCGCCATGTTGTGGAGTTGCTATTGCTAAAGGCCACCTTCTGCTAGGTGAGACACTCTATGCGCTCTCCTGACCGCAAAATTAACAGAGCCTTTTGCGGTAGCAAGCCAAGGTGGGTGAGTCCATGAATGCAAGACATAACTGAGGCATAGAAGAGACTGACTTTTACTGCCCCAGCAGTAACCTCTTTATTCCCTTTCTGCATATAATTCAAGACAATGGTGGTTGAAGAATATCTTCATGTTCAACTCTTCTCACTGAACAAGACTTTTAAAAATACAGATGGATTGATGTGGTCATTATCTGTGCTCTTAGGTAGAAGAGCAGTAACCTGGATGACCGCTTGACCTTCTGTCCAACTGGAAGTACAACAACAGGTTTGACGTAATGAGGCTGCATAACAAGTAGAGCAGCATCAATCTGAAAACAATTTAGCTTCCATCACACATTTACCTATACTCTCCTCTTCCTTTGCATCAAGAACATGTGCATCACTGAACTGGAAAATTAGTATCAGCACAGTGATTGTGACAGAACTGTCATACAGCTGTTGTGTCTCAATCTAAGTGTAACGAACCCCATGAGATTGATTTGGCCCTTTCTCTGTGTAAATCAGCGTAATTATACTCAACAAATTTCATTATGAAGGAAAACCTGGAGGAGTAAAGTCCTGTTTCTGGCTGCTACTGCTGATAGTGGTGAGCAATTGAGAGGTATGGTGTGAGACCGTGATGATGTCAGTTAGCTAACAAACAAATAAAAAATTCAGATTAACACATTAAAGGTTTGGTGGCTAGGTAAAAGCTGTATAGGTGTATCAGGCCCATCCTGGTAGAGCTCTGGTCTAGTCCTGGTTGTTTGATTTCATGATCCAAGTCCAGCTCATGACTTGTGACGACACTTTAAAACACAGATTGCTACCAGATCCAAAGCCTAAAAAAATTAAGAACCATTACAATGATAGAGTCAATGTAATGATATGCTTTCAATCCATCCATCCAGCCATCCAGGGGGGAGAGGGCTGAAGCCATCCATTTCCATTTTCATCCGCTTATCCGGAGTCGGGTCGCAGGGACAGTAGCCTAAGGCGAGAGGCCCAGGCTTCCCTCTCCCCAGCCACTTGGGCCAGCTCCTCCGGGGGAATCCCAAGGTGTTCCCTGGCCAGGTGAGAGACATAGTCCCTCCAACGTGTCCTGGGTCTACCTTTAGGTCTCCTCCCGGGTGGACGTGCCCGGAAAACCTCACCAGGGAGGCGTCCAGGAGGCAACCTGACCAGATGCCCGAGCCACCTCAACTGGCTCCTCTCGATGTGGAAGAGCAGCGGGTCTACTCCGAGCCCCTCCCAAATGACCGAGCTTCTCACAATATCTCTAAAGCCCCCTTCAGACAGGCCATGAAAAACGGAAATGTTCCGGAATCTGTCCGTAAGACCTTTCTGTCTGAATACAAACATCCGGATAACGTGTTCCGGAATTTATCCGTACGAAGCCCCTAGTAACAGGTCCGGACTTGTTACGGACAGGGTGGCTGCATCAGACTGGTGAGGTAAAGTTCCGGACAAGAGGGAGGGGGAGGAGGGGACCGGGGGACGCTGTGCGCACCTATATAGCCCGCTGCTGTAGAATGCGGCGAACCACGGCAGCTCGCCTCCTACAGTACCGTCTAGACGCGCGACGGAGCGCTTCACACCGCTTCAGTGATTCCTTTAACCATTGAGCTTCATCATCCAGGTCTCTTATGTGTCTTCGTGTGCGCAGAATTATGCTTAAGCGCCTCGTGATTTTTATCTTGAGAGGCGCTATAGAAATGATATTTTCTTCTTCTTCTTCTTAACATAAGTCCGATTCCCCCCCACCCCCCGCCGCCGTCAGACATCTGGAACTTTTCCCTGCTGTGTGAACGCAGCCGAAAGGACAAGTTCCGGTACAAAAGTGGTGTGTCTGAAAACACAGTTCCGGTTAAAAACCGGATTGAATTGTCCGCAAATGTTCCAGAATGTCTGTCTGAAAAGGGCTTAAGGGAGAGCCCAGCCACTCTTCGGAGAAAACTCATTTCAGCCGCTTGTATCCACGATCTCGTTCTTTCGGTCACTACCCAAATCTCATGACCATAGGTGAGGGTAGGAACGTAGATCGACCGGTAAATCGAGAGCTTCTCCTTTTGAATCAGCTCTCTCTTCACCACGACAGACCGGTACAACGCCCGCATCACTGCAGATGTAGCACCAATCTGCCTATCAATCTCATGCTCGAGTTTTCCCTCACTCATGAACAAGACCCAGAGATACTTAAAACTCATCCACTTGGGGAAGGACCTCATCCCTGACCCGGAGAAGGCATTCTACCCTTTTCTGAACCAAGACCATGGCCTCAGATTTAGAGGAGCTGATTCTCATCCCAGCTGCTTCACACTCGGCTGCGAACCGCTCCAGCAAAAGCTGAAGATCACGTTCTGATGAAGCGAACAGGACCACATCATCTGCAAAAAGCAGAGACCTGATCCTCAGGCCACCAAAACGGATGCCCTCCACACCTTGACTGTGCCTAGAAATCCTGTCCATAAAGGTTATGAACAGAATCGGTGACAAAGGGGTCCAACTCTCACTGGGAACGAGCCCGACTTACTGCTGGCAATGCAGACCAAGCTCTGACACCGGTCATACAGGGACCTAACAGCCCGTATCAGAGGGTCTGGTACCCCATACTCCCGGAGTATCCCCCACAGGGCCCCCCAAGGGACGTGGTCAAACGCCTTCTCTAAATCCACGAAACACATGTAGACTGGTTGGGCAAATTCCCACGCACCCTCCAGGATCCCTCTGAGGGTATAGAGCTGATCCAGTGTGTGACGGCCAGGACGAAAACCACATTGCTCCTCTTGAATCTGAGGTTCAACAATCCGACGGACCCTCCTCTCCAGAACCCCTGAATAGACCTTACCAGGAAGGCTCAGGTGTGTGATCCCCCTGTAGTTGGAACACAAACTGCGGCCCCCCTTTTTAAATAAGGGAACCACCACCCCAGTCTGCCAGTCCAGTGGGACTGCCGCTAAAGTCCTCGCGATATTGCAGAGCTGTGTCAGCCAACACAACCCCACAACATCCAGAGCCTTAAGGAGCCCCCCCACCCCCCGAGGCGTCGGATGGAGAACCGGAATCTCCTCGAAGCCGTATGGATGTCTTGCTCCAATAACTCCTCCCATGCCCGGGTTTTTGACTCGGCGACCACCCGAGCCGCTTTCCGCTTGGACTGCCGGTACCTGTCAGCTGCCTCTGGAGTCCCACAGGCCAAAAAGACCTGATAGGACTCTTTCTATAGCTTGACAGCATCCCTAACCACCGGTGTCCACCAGCGGGTTCGGGGGTTGCCACCACGACAGGCACCGACGATCCTGCGACCACAGCTCCGTTCAGCCGCCTCAATAATGGAGGCACGGAACAGGGTCCATTCAGACTCAATGTCCCCTGCCTCCCCCGGAACATTTTGGAAGTTCTGTCAGAGGTGGGAATTGAAGCTCCTTCTGACAGGAGACTCTACCAAACATTCCCAGAAGACCCTCGCGATACGTTTGGGCCTGCCTGGTCTGACCGGCATCCTCCCCCACCATCTGAGCGAACTCACCACCAGGTAGTGGTCAGTTGACAGCTCCGCCCCCTCTTCACCCAAGTGTCCAAGACATGCAGCCGCAGGTCAGATGAAACAACAAGAAAGTCGATCATCGAGCTACGGCCTAAGGTATCCTGGTGCCAAGAGCAAATCAAATCAAATCAAATTCAAATTTTATCTGTCACATACACATTCATACACAGTACGAAATGCAGTGAAATGCTTACACAACTGCTCATGACCTAAGAGTTGAAAATAAAAAAACTGTACACCACGGATTAAAATGAAGGGTAAATTTAACTGGGAAAGAGTAAGGTAAAATATATCTGAATTAAAGTTGAATAATAGAATAGCTTTACAACAAAATACACAATACAATTCAAATTAGAATAAAAGGTAAATTTAGCTGGGAAGGAATAAGATAATATATATATAAGTTGAAGTTGAGAATAAAGTAACTGTAAAACAAAATACACAGTATGTAAATGTATAAGAATGTATAAAGAAATAAAAATATCTGTACAAAACAGCGGCTGAACAAGTATTAAATGGAAATGAAAAAAAATATATATATAATGTCCAGAGTTGTGCAAACCACATTTTAGTGACTTTGTAGTGCAACTATGCTTAAGCAAAGTCCAGACTGTTCAGTTCAGTGTGTGTGAGAACCATATGTGTGTGCACTTACTATGTGGTGGTGTGGTTTAAAGATCGTATCGCCTGCGGGATGAGGTGTCCATAAAGGTGTCCATGCACACATGGACACCTTTATGTCTGAACATGGTGTTCAGTATGGACAATACATGACTGGCACAGAAGTCCAACAACAAAACACCACTCGAATTCAGATCAGGGGGGCCGTTCCTCCCAACCACACCTCTCCAGGTCTCACTGTCGTTGCCCACATGAGCGTCAAAGTCACCCAGCAGAACAAGGGAGTCACTGGAAGGAGCACTTTCCAGCACCCCCTCCAAGGTCTCCAAAAAGGGTGGGTAGTCTGAACTGTAGCTTGGTGCATAAGCACAGAC